TTCCAGTCCCAACAGAAGGATGTGTGCACTCGAACAAGGACAAGTAATATTGGGGAAGCTCCTCAACAAGATTAACTACAGTAGTATCAGTGATTTGCTTAACAAATTACCTCAGAATCCTCAGGGAGGACAAAAGAAGTGGAGCAGACAGACGCTGAGTGAGACTGACACAGTGGGATGAGAGAGAGGCAGACTGAAAGGGGCTGAGAGGCAGTCAGATAGACGGATGCAAAAAAAGAGAGAGAGAAAAAGAGCAAGGTAAATAGAGAGAGAGGCAGATACAGTAAAGACATACAGACAGACAGGGGCTGTATCGAGGCAGTCTGTTTGATAGTGAGAGTAATTTGTCCTTCGCATTAGCTCAGCCTCGTTTGATTATGCAACCACTGCTGTCACAGCCACCGCTTTTGCCATCGCCATTCCGAGGGCACGTCGAGCCCTGACTTCCCCTCCACCCACACCACCCTCCCCCGACACAGACCACCCTGTATTTATTTTTAGCCTGAGCGTCCGACCCAGCCAGCCGGCGTGCCCTGCTCTCCAGTACAGACTACATAAGAGTGGATGTCTTATGGTGCTTTCAATACAACTGGGAACTCGAGAAAAAAAAACGAGGTCAAATCATGACGTCAGTGATCTTCAGGTCGGAAAGTCGGAGCTCTAGAAAGATGCCCTAGTTTCCGTCTTATAATTCTGAGGTGGATGACCATTCAAAAAAAATATCCCCAGTTGGAGCTCATTCCCCCCCCCCCCTTGTTCCCAGCTGTCTTGAACGCACTGAAGTCAGATTTCGGAGTTCCGTGTTATTTTGAACTCGGCAAGACTCGGAGGCCAACGACGCGTGATAATGATTATGTAACGCTGAATCACCCCCCAGTGGCCTGCTGGAAGCAGTTCGTACATTAATTACACCAGATGAAGTCCCAATGATTTACACATGTGAGCAGAGGATTTTGAGGTGGAGAGGAGGTTTGATAGAGACATCACGTGGCCTGTTGATATAGCCTTTGGATTATACAGTAGTCGTACAGCTGCAATAGACTCAGACTACAGCTTTTAGTCTGTCTATCCTAATGTATAATGCAGACTTAAGTGTGCCTCCATTATAAAGTGGAAGACCAACTCCACTGCAGCAGACTGAATCAGTGATGAAAAATCTCTGCAGTGTCTGTAGAGAAATGTCTACTGAATATCCTATGATGCCTATGACTCGATAAGTAGAAAGGAAACATTCAGTAAGACTTCAAATGATGTAAATGTCATTAAAACACAGAGATACTGTTACCTTTCACTGTTAGAACAAACAGGTAAAGAGGTTGATTCAGTGAACTGCAGTATTCAAAGATGATTTCCATTTCTTAATTATTTTTTGCCCCCCAAAATGATAACCTTTGATATTGATATATTCTATTTCATTGTTCTTCCACAGAAAGTCCTCCGACAATCCAACAAACTTCATTGAAACGATTCCGTATTCAATAGAGTTGCCATTTTACTTTTTTATATTAAATAATCTTTTGGGAGGACCATTTCAGTCTGCGGTGTCCGTCTACTCTCCAGTCATCATCAGAAGAATACATAATGGGGTAAAGAATAAAAATGTCTTTATTTATTTAACATTGATCAAGAGGAAATCCAATGTTAGAAAATTTTAATGGATACCAAGACCTTTACAATTGTCATAAATCACTGTCTTAAATTACTGCAATTGCAATGCAAACCAAAAACAAAACAGAGAGAACAAAAGCTCTTAGAAAAATGAAACCGGCTTTGTTGAATGGCAATAGAATCAAAGTAATGTGTTTAGTTCACTTACAATTATAAAAACCACTCCAAATGAAACCACTAAACTTGAATACTGTTGACCACTAAAAAAAGGGCTTTAGAATAGAATATACTTGGCATTTTGTGTGGCCTTTTAAAATAACTATATACAGCCATAGACAATACGATTTGGAAAATACTGCATTTGTGGTCGTGGTGATAATAATTATAATAAAATAGTCTCGTCATTCAATCAATTGGTACAGAATAATAAAATATTAAAATAAAAGATGTGAACGTCATCTTATTTTCGTAAATTCTCAGTTCAGAAAGATCTTGAACAACGTCGAATATGGATCTATAAAACAGGTTTTCAATAAAACCCCACTTTTTGTTTTGCACATTCCCATACATCATTGCTGCATTGAGTTGAACATTCAGTCACACCTAAAGAATTGCTTTGAACTTTAGATAGTCGTTCCATGTCATTTCAGCAAGCCGTTACACCCACCATCTCAGATTGTCCTGAAATAGTTTCTGTAGTTTGAAACATAAGATTAGCATTCATGCAACATTTTGTTTAATTTGACCTCTGAGAAATTAAGCTAATCGATTGCACCCAAATTGGCCCTTCTGATTTATAGGATTCACATAATATTCAATAAATATAGAACCCAAAATCTGATTTGGACCAAAGGTTTTCCTATCATTGAGCAAGACATGAGGAATCCAATAAAATCATCAAAAGCCACCCAAGGACCCCCCACACCAATCCCACCCCAACGGCCAGTATACAGTATCAGTTCTGTCTAACAAGTAGTAAGGAGCTGTGGCTTGGAGTATTGCTTCTTCATCCTATGTAATGTATTCCCTCTGAATCAGGTGGCCATTTGAAATGACTTGTATTATTTACCATAATTTAGTCTGAAAGTACCAGGTTTTGCCCACTTGATGTTTCGGTTCTTACTACTGACACACCCTTTTGTAAATGTTGCTGGTGTCTTGTGTTTATTAAATGGATCACAACATTTTCTTTGTAACTTTGGGTAGAAAACCAATAGCTTTTGCTCATGATGAAAATAAATTGTGTGGTCATCCTCACAAGTCAAGACAGTCCTCCATGAAAGCAATTTCATTTGTCCTCGCCTTAGCAGCCTAATGCTTCAACCCAACTCTCCTTAAATAGTCCAACAAATGGCATCTCTGAGCGGGCTATACCTATGGTGCAATTCTCATATCCAAACAAGCCCAACACTTTGATGAAGAAACAGGCTAGTGACAAAAATGTGACAAAAATCCTAATAAAATAATACAATTATAAACCATTGCATGGCAGTCATGTTTTTCAATAAAATTATTCGAAAACATCTCTATATATGTTGTGTGATTAGCAACTTTTACCATTAAACCCAATGTCATTGCAAAATACTATACAGTCAGTGTTTGGGACTTTTACCATTGAAGACCATAACATTGAAACCATTAGAACTGCTGTAGCCTAATGGTTTGTTTGTTCACCAGGAATGGTCTAACTAATCCAGACCATTTTTGAAGGGAATTAACCACACAGAGGAGCCATTTTCTGGACACAGATTAAGCCTAAGAGAAGGATAAACTAAATTGCTTTCATGGAGGATTGGCTTGAATTGTGAGGATGGCCACACAATTTAGTTTCATCATGATCAAAAGCTATTGGTTTTTCTACCCAAAGTTGCAAAGTAAATGTTGTGACCCATTTAATAAACACAAGAGACAAGCAAAATGGATACAAGGGTGTGTCAGTAGCAGGAACAGCGGCATCTAGTGGGCAACACCTGGTACTTTCACACTAATTTATGGTAATGAAGGAGACTTCAAATGGCTAATTTCTCTGAACAGGGGGAAAAAACATCACCAGATTCACAGGGAATACATTACATAGGATGAAGAAGCACTACTCCAAGCCGCAGCTCCATACAACTTGTTAGACAGAGAACTGATACAGTATACTGGTTGTTAGGGTGGGATTGGTGAGTGTGAGCGGTCTGTGGGTGGCTATTGGATTCCTCATGTCTTACTCATTGGTAGGAAGAATTATGGTCAAATTATGGTACTATATTTATTGAAGATTATTTAATCCTATTATTTAAAATGGCCAATTTGGGTGCAAACAATTAGCTTAATTTCTTAGAGATCAAATTATATTTCAACAAAATAATGTTTCAGGAATGCTAATCTTATCTGTTTGTATACAGAAACGATTTCAGCACAATCTGAGATGGTGGGTGTCAAAATCCTCCTTCTTGTGCTTTTTGAGGTGGAACGACCCGATAACTAGTCTAAATTCAGACATCATTGAATGTCTAGGTCAACAAGTCTGCAGAGGAAGAGTGTCTGAACCATAGAAATACAAGACCCGTTCTAGTAATTATATTTCTATGGTTTGATCGATGTGACTGCCTCTATGGCATGTCGGTGTACAATCAGTCACTACGGTGGATACCATACTTTAAAAACTAAACAAAATATAGGTAATATTGTGGTAAAAATAATAATTTGAAAAAAAACATGCAATCAATGTGCCAATTCAATAATCACAATATACCAAAGTGCCTCATGAAGAGTATTCCAAACATTCTTCACGGAACACAACCAAACACTCCTCTTTAGCATTTTCCAAACATACCCGTTCAGTAAATACATGTCAACTCTGTCTTGGTGTTGTAAGGCACCTTAAAATGTTTATTTCTTTCCTATATCCAAGACCATGGATAGTACATCATTGCTGGGGGTATTTATTGGGCTGGTCGGTGGGATTCTGCATTAATGTTGTTGAACGTGTTCATGGTAGTCACCGGGCAGGGAAGGTGAGAGTTGAAGGCATAAGAGAAAGTATGAATTTGAGAATGGGAGTGTGTCAACATCAACTTCATGGATACCATGTATAAGGTGACAGTTGGGAAAGACGGCGAGATACAGCAATAGACGGTGGCAGGCCAGGCGACCCTTGGGTTTGGCATACAGCATCTAGAACGTAGATGGTCAGGGATGACGAGACCCCTCTTCCACTTGCCTGGTCCAAGATCTGTTTGTGCGGTCTTGCCAACAATGTTTTGCTGTATAGCCAACTTCTATGGTTTGGCATGTTTGGTAATGACTATGACCATATAAGAGTACACAGCACAAACATCTTTGGGACCAGGCTACTCTTCCACTGAGAGTATACAGGCAGGTGCTAAGAGGTCCTAGGTTCTGGACTACAGCATCTCCACATAGTTTTCAGGGATGAGGCCTCTCTTCCCCTCCAGCTCTCCTTCCAGCCAGCCAGGTTCCCTGGAAGGTGCCACTGCAGATGGGAACAGAAGGTACCAGGGGACAGGGTGAGAGAGGAGTAAACACACCACATTTCATTAGTGTTCGAAAACACAGATGCTAGGTCAGTGAGAGAAAGTTTTGCTCAGAGCTTTACAGTTGACATTTTATAGTTGGCATAGAAACAGTATATAAACACAACCATCATCTCTGTAAACAATGTGAAATTGTGGTGGAAATACTCTGGAAATACTAATGAAATATGGAAAGTGATGGGAAATGTCCTCATGTGCCATCTTCATTTTATCCGTTCAGGTAGTGTACCCCATTTACTGGAGAATGACTCAAGAGGGTAGCATCGTAGGCTGTATAAAACGTATTTGGCACAGAGATGCTTTTCAGAGAACAGGGACATGTTAATTAGGCACCAAATCGATGAAAACGGACTGAAACAGTGAGGGACTTCTCCAATCAGAATTCCCCATTTTCATTTTGCATTGCAAAATGTTTTAAAACGTTTTTAGGTTTGTTTTCCCATGGTGCCGGACCATCTTCAGACTGAATATGAGATGATGGTTAGTCAGTCAGGGAGGTAAATTGGCAGCAAAATACAGCGCCAATGCATTCCTACCCAAACTCTGTATATTTGATTAAAGTGAAATGGGCTGAGATATGTTGATGCATAACTGTAGTCTTAGCTAAGCAGGTATTTTATAACCCATCTCTCTAAAATTACTTTATACGATATGTGATATTTGGCTCTCTTGCTTGTGGTGTATATTATTTAATGTGATAAGATTTCTTATGAGATGGAAAACCCAAGATGATATTAAATCAAGCTGTGCCATTATTAAGCTGTATTATTGATAAAATATGTTTAGACCATGTTTGGTTAGATATGTGCAAGCCAATATAGGCCTCTAGTCAAGAGACTGGCCATATTTGCCCTTATAACACTTCTTTAGGCAAGGGTTCTTTCATTTGTCGACCCATGCATCGCCAATTGACAGTGTGTGGCTTTGAGATTGTTGGATTCTCAATACGAGACAGTGAATCATATTTTCCAAATATTTTTGGCTCGAGGGCGTACATTTTATATTGTCCGTCTGAGTGGGTTACAATCTCAAACCCCTCAGTTAAAGTCAAAGGGAAAATAACCCCATACCAGATCATATTTTTCATTTAGATGCATTTTATTAGTAGTGTCCCGCTTGCCTGACGACTCACCCTGAATTTAATTCCTCTGCTCTGTTGATCGCTACATACATTCAGTCTGAATCTGCCATTCTAGAAGTTGTTTGTGTGACTTCAAAATGAGGGGCATTGCACAAAACAAAACAAATTAAATCTCTCTCTCTCTCCCTCTCCTCCCCTCTCCCTTCCATCCGTCGCTCCCTCCATCTCCCCAGTCTGATTCAAGATCAGATTGGGCTGTCCTGTTACCGGTTTCCTCCCGGAATCCAATATGCCCGGCGGTTCGTTGAGATTTCGGAGCGAGCGACCGTTGTCGGCGCGATAACACTTACCAGCGCTGAATATTGCTCCGACCTGGAAGGATAACTCCGAGTCGTGCTCGGCCTCGCACGGGTACACCGCCATGGCTTTCTTGCCTCCACCACCGGTGACACTGAAAAATGAAGGCAATCAGTGAGCTGGCGGGGCTTTGGAAGAGAGAGAGGGATCAGAGGATTACTCCACGGTTCAGTCTGGGCTAGGTGATCAGTACTGAAACAGCAGGGAGCGAATGAGCAAAAGGACTATGGGTATCTCAGGGGCTAGCGCAAACCAAGAGGACTGTTGTCTGGCTGCTATCTGAACCTTGGTGAGCGAGTCACACACGAACGAGTACACACACATCACAGTCTCCCTCTCTCCCATCTCTCAGATATACAGGGTCGGTGTGGATGTATCTCAGACTGCAGACATGCATCAGGCCACAGCGACAGACAACCATTATGGTTCTACTGAGATAGTTAGAGTGGGGGAATTCTAAAGCAGGTTTCTACACAAACAGAACAGCCGTATGGAATTCCAGAGATTTCCTCACCTGGCACGGTTATATGCAAAGTTCTACCCATAGTGGTTATAGACCTAGACACTGAGGCTACATTCATAAAGTGAATGTGAGGTTAAAGGGTTGTCAAAGAAACTATATGCATGCATAGCCCCAGCAAAGGTTAGAGAACAAGGTGCTTTTCTGGCCTTGATAAAACAATGTGTTTATTCGGCCGTGGTTTTTGCCCCCTTTGCAAATAGTTCTCAACTGGCAGCAGGCATTACTATGTAGAAAACGTAGCCTTCAATACCTCATACCCTGAAAAATATTTCATATACCTACACTCTGCAACAACATTGGAGAGCGCTGGAGACCAAAACATAATATCTATTCAAACTGAAAAAGTTGTGTGTGTGCCGAGTTGTCACGGCAACAATCTTCACCTGCATTTGTTCTTTTGAATAGAGGGTATTCTTACAGGACTGCATCTGGAGGAATACAGGCCTTTTGTATATATGAAATAACATTATAATGGATTGCCCTTATAATGACTTGGCTATGTGCAATTTCCTCAGCATCATATGAAAGCTTGAATTGATCATTTTGTCTGGTAGGTAGCACAGCTATGGATAACAGTAATGGGCTACATGTCTACAGAGTGCCCACGGAGTATATTCAAATACCTGTGTGTGTGTGTGTGTGTGTGTGTGTGTGTGTGTGTGTGTGTGTGTGTGTGTGAACGTGCAGTACTAGTAGCAGCAGCAGCAGCTTACCCGTCCTCTGTCTTGTCCCCATCAGAACCGACTTTGGTCAGGGCTCCAGAGTTGAGCCACGAGGCTGCTACAGCGATGCAGGCCCTGCAGTCAAACAGAGGGAACAGAGGGTCAAACAAACGTCTATAACCAGACACCAAATATCTACAGTAGCATCTTAATGACACCAGACAGTGGTCTGCCAACACAATGTCAGTGACCACTGCATCCACCCAGTTGTTTGTCTTGTTCTCTTCCCTGGCCTGTGTGAACCCTATGTACTCAACACAGATTGTTGCTGAGGATAACTGAATGGTTATGTCCTCCCTTCTGTATTTTACTGCAGTGTGAAGGTCTAGGTGACAGCCATTGTTAAAAGTTGAAAAGTTCATTCCCTTCTCAAACGCATACAAACAACCTTTCATTCTACTTCAAGTTGGTCAAGTTAAACATGCTTCATTCCCTGTCCCTGCCAAGAAAAAAAAAAAAAAACATTTAGCATACACAGATATCTCAAAACTTCTGCTATAATTTACATTGACATCATTAGCAATTGTCGGGAATGAGAGGTAGAGTCTGAGGTTTTAATGGCTAGTGCCCTTGAGCTGTGGGGGAAAGCCAGAGGGGATTTAAGCAAGGGACATTAGTGTGTGGCGGAGCGGAGAGTAGAGTAGAGGCTGGGAAGAGAGCCACACTTTAAAAGATGAGCAGCTACTTTCACACACAGCCAATTAGTATTCCACCTCCAGAGTCTACACAGCCTTGGCAAGGCTTACAGCAACTCACAGGTTCTGTTCTCATTACCTTCGTTTGCACAGTTTTTGACTTTTAAAACAATAATTTTGTGGTGAAGGGCACATTATTTAGAAAATCCTACACAAGTTTGCTTATTTATGTGAGATAAATGATAGAGGACAAATCAGTTGAGTGCTTAAAAAGCAGAGCCATTTTGACCCTTTGTGAAGAACAGCAGGATACAGAGTCAATGTTCATCACTTAAAAAAAACAAATCAGCTTCAAAATAAATATAATCATTAAGAAAAAAAACAATCACAATTGACGATTCATCAGATCATCTAAAAACCATTGGTCTCATATTGGGGCTGAATAAACGCTGTGGTTGTTTCTTTGATAATGCCCTTGACCCCCCTGTCTGTCTACTACACCATTCTCAGGACAATTCAACGACAGCCTTCACATGGTGATTGCAGAATGCTGGGGAGAGCAAATTTAGACAGATAGAGAGAGGAACCGAGTGAGAGAGCGGGACCGAGAGCGACTGATGAACGGCACAACCCCCTATGAATAAAACATTGAGAGAGCAGGTGAATAATTATTCAAATCTGGGGAAGTTCACAGCTGTCCTCACTTTATTATGACGCATTGTTTGAATATTTTTGAAAATCAATGTTCTACATTTTAAACACTTATTTGACTGATATTTGATGTATGGATTAGTCCAATGGTATAAAATAACAAAGTACATGCCATTGACCCATGCTTCTTTAGAATTTTTTTGGAACATCCAAATCATAAATGATATTTTTTCCCATAGGAACAACTTCCACTGTTCTCAGGACAAACACTAAATCAAGCAGTATCACCAACTTAGAAAGTTTGAGAATGTTCTGGAGAACCATTACTAGAGGTCCTTTAGCCTCAACACACTGTAACTGGAGGGAAATCAATTCCCTTAAAAGTAAAATCTATATTTCCCCTCGAATTCAACTGTCCTCTATAAACTTCCTGGAGGTCACAACAGCCCATAATAACATCTGTGCACTAAACAGATATAAGAGGCAACACCTTATAGACATGACCATCCACTCTAAAACAACAGCCATACCAATCCTATTAAAACAGTCCTAGCAAAGACGTCGTCTTGTGCCATTGCATCTTCACTGCTAAGGTAGGGGCATGGAGGGGGCAGAGAGTATGTGTCTGTGCTCTTTTCTGCTCTCTGCGTCAAGTCTCGTCCTACTTTAACCTCCAGAGACGGAGCAGGGCCAGCCAAGGCACAGTGGGGCTGAGAGGGACAGCCAGAGTCAAGCCTCCCTCCCTGCCCGAGGCCCATGCTAATACAGTGTAATGAGTAAATTGCTTCTAGCCGCTGCTCCCATAGAGACACTAATAAAGGCAATTAGAGGGAGCAGCTGGGGAGGACCCGGGGGGGCAGGGGTTTGCGGGGACGTTGGCGGCAGCGAGGGGGTGGGGGTTACTGGTCGGATGGGACAACGGACGCTGGGTTAGTGGAGGTATATGAGGGCACACAGTCCCTACCTATCTCTGGCCATGTCTACACTTGACATTTACATGACACTTCTGCTATCAGAATACGAAGATCGCATTGAAAAGATGGGTCTAGATGCACAAAAGTCTCTGTGGTCTGATTGTATTCAGATCTGGCTGACCACTTCAGGAAGTGGTCAGGGATGCATTGTGTGCAGATTTCTCCTCAGTCTGGACGCAATCAGGCTACCGAAGGCGCATACAGTGGGCAAAATCCTCAGCACTCCTCCCACAAGTCTCCAGAAAAAGTGTGTTTTGGGACCGAGAGTCACCCTTTCATTATAAAGTTGGAGGAAATACGTTCCTAGCGTGAGGAACGTGTTTGCTGTCCTCAAATGCTAGCCAGCTAGCTAACATTTTGAAAAACGATTTTCTGTTTGGCTAAAGTTATTCTAACCTGTTTGCAATCCATTTAGCTTTGCTGGCTAGCTACATACGTTAACTGGCTAGTTAGCTACAGTAGTTAGCTACTGCCATCAAGTTGTTGTTGTGTATTCATATTTTGCCTATTCCAAGGTTTGCAGAATGCATACTGGCATTTCAATATAGCACAGGAAAATGGAATCCGGACACGGTGGACACATTTAAATGTAGGTGTAGACGCATGATGTGCTCGGAATTCCATGATCAGAACACCATGATCAGAATACAAAAACTGCATTAAGTGTCTAGTCTAGACATGGCCTATCTCCTCCCTCTATCCATCCCCCCCTCCTCCTCCTCCAACCTCTCCCTACCTCCATCAGGGTCTAGTCAGGTTCAGTCAGTGCAGTGGATGTAGATGCCGGATGGTGTGGGTGATTTATAGCTCTGCAGGGAGAGTGTGTGTGTGTGTGTGTGTGCACGTGTGTGTGTACGTGTGTGTGTGTGTGTGTGTGTGTGTGTGTAGACAGAGGGGCCACTGGTGTCTCAGCTGCTCCACATCAGCATGGGGGGACGGAGCGCTGCAGTGCAGCAAATCCACTCATTAACCTCAGTCTCCGTCCGTCCACACAGCACAGCAGAGCACACCGTCTGCCTCTGGTGCCTGATGCTCTGCCTGGGCCAACAGTAGAATAGGAGCACTGTCACTTTACCCACCTGCAGGTAGGTGCTGAGAAACTCTTTACTGCTAAGGTAGGGGGATGGATGGGGCAAAGGGGCAGAGTGGATGTGTAAGTGTCTCTCTCTCTCCACACACACAGTATACAGGCAAACACACACGATAGCGTGTTAGTGTGTACACATGAGGGTACGCTCACTCACAAAACACACATACCTTCACACACACACACACAGGAATGCACACTCAAACAGGCAAAAACAAACAAATTCAATCAGACACTCAAATCGAAATACTCATATGTAGTCATAAAAGTCGTTACTTTACTACACAAGCGAAGGCTATAAATGAAATAGCAATTATGAAGATCTGGAGAAGACCTGTCAAGTAAATAGATACTGAAATGATTACAGGATAAATGGTTGTGAAAGTATTCACTGAATGCAACATGGTTGCCCTAGAAACCTGTCAAATGAACAGAGTGGAAAATGGATTTATCCTAAAACAACTAAGCCAGACAGAGGAAAATTATTTTTTTGTGTCTCGCTAACCAAAATATCACAGAGCCTCGAATTACACGTCGGTAGTTTTTTTGATTGTTTTCCATCATCTATAAAATGAGTTCCCTATTGAAGTACGATTACATACACTGAACGTACAAAACATTAGCAACACCTGCTCTTTCCATGACAGACTGACCAGGTGAATCCAGGTGAAAGCTATGATCCCTTATTGATGTCACTTGTTAAATCCACTTCAAATCAGTGTAGATGAATGGGAGGAGACAGGTTAAAGAAGGATTTTTAAGCCTTGAGACAGTTGAGACACGGATTGTGCATGTGTGCCATTCAGAGGGTGAATGGGCAAGACAAAATATTGAAGTGCCTTTGAACAGGGTATGGTAGTAGGTGCCAGGTGCACCGGTTTGAGCGTGTCAAATTGAGACGCTGCTGGGTTCACGCTCAACAGTTTCCCATGTGTATCAAGAACTACCCACCACCCAAAGGCCATCCAGCCAACTTGACACAACTGTGGGAAGCATTGGAGTCAACATGGGCCAGCATCCCTGTGGAACGCTTTCGACACCTTGTAGTCCATGCCGCGACGGGTTGAGGCTGTTCTGAGGGCAAAAGGGGGGTGCAACTCAATATTGGGAAGGTGTTCCTAATATTTTGTACACTCAGTGTATGTATGAAGCTAACCAGCTTTTCAGTGGAAGCATACTTAAAAAATAAACCTACAATATAATATAATAATTACGCTGTGTCCATTTTGTGAAAAACTTAAATTTGTCAAACTGCCTATCTCAATCCCCCACAAATAAACACACACACGTTGAGAAGCACAGGGTAAGCCACAGAGCAGTGCCCTTGGATCGAGAGCAGAGCAGTGCCCCTGGATCAAGAGCAGCTTAGGCGTTAAGTGCCTTGCTCAAGGGCACAACAGCAGGGCAGGAGATGATACCTGGGATCAGACACTAGCAGCCCTCTGGTCACCAGTTCAGCTCCCACTAGTTTTATAGTCGTGTGGATATGAGGGCAGAGTCACTGTACCACAGACCTGCACTGCTGGTTCCCATTACTGTATGGCAGGAAAGGAATTCCACCCCACAGCCTCCAGGCCTGGTTGGGTCTGTGGGTCTGCCAATGGGCCTAATGGGGGACGGACGGAGGGAGCTCTGTGTGGGTTGGAGGGAGGGAGGGGGGACTGGGGAGGGTGGACAGACTTTCTACTGCTCCTCTTTCTGGGCTGAGAGGACAGACTTTCCACATCACTGATTACTGGAGGAGTGGTGTGGAGCTGGTAAGCACCAACAAACAACTCCGCCTTCAATCTGGGTGGACAGGAAACCCTGTTCTATGATCCACAGCTGTCCTCCAAGAGAGAGGGATGGGGGAGGAAGATGAGGAAGAGGCAAAATTGCAGGTCTGGAAATGACTTTGCCACAGGGAGATCCGGATAGTGAATTTGGGGGGAAATGAGATGAGACACTGAAGTTGGCAGAGATGATAAATCATCACTAAATAGTGTCTGATGTAGAGAGTTGGAGTTGAACTTGTGTATAATATAATAATGCATTTTTTTAGGCAACAGCATAACAGATGTACTAATTAGGTACTATTCTAGGTATTGAGCAGTGAGCACCACATCACATAGTGACTTCAGTGTTGAGGCTGGTTAAGTAGAGTTATCCTAGCCTGGTCCCAGATCTGTTTGTGCTGTCTTGCCAACACCTATGGTCAATGTCACTGCTAAACAGGAGTTGCCAAGGCAGCACAAACAGATCTGGGACCAGGCTACCTACACACTCATTCCACCTCCCACGCCTTTTTTGGAGGAGTGGTGTAGCCATGGCCTCTGCCAGAAAGGTGCTGCCTGCAATGCACACACACACACACACACACAGACGGCACAAGTCTTCATAAAGGTCAGAGCTGAGCTATGAGAGTAAACTAGATGAACGTCTCCCAATGTCAATATGATTTACACGGCTGACGCACCGCCACCTGTCTCCCAAACAAATAAGGGCGATATTCACGACCCCCTCCCAGTCACTCCTTCCGTTCCACTGGAGGAGAGGCGAAGCCACGAAGTGGGAAAAAGAGAGGGATGAAAAAACGAGTGTTGGTTATGTAACTCACCGTAGCTCCGTCTGTCTACCATGGCGATTTGGAGCCAAGGCTAGAGGTGCGACACAGACGCACCAATTCGAGGGCACACAAACAACCGCCGCACATACGAGCGCTGCACACACACACAGGTTGAAAACCAAAGAGGAACCATATTTTTCTCCTCAGTAAAGTATGTGCTAATGTTGTTGTTTTACAGCTCGTGTGTCTTGTGAGAAGAACTCTTTGCACTCAGAGCATCTCAGAGACAGAGGGAGGGAGGGGCGGAGAGAAAGTGGGCGAGGGGTAGAGGGAGGCAGAGAAAGACAGAAAGTTTATTTCACAAGGTGAATCTGCAGACATGACACACTGCAGAGACAAAGAGCAGCCCAACATCTGCAGTCTAAACCAATATTATTATTAGCGCTCGCATCAGCATTCAAGGCAAGCTGTGGGCTGGAGACAACTAAAAGAAACCAAGGACTTCACAGAGAAGGGCTGGATAGAGAGGAGGAGGGGAGAGGGGGAGGAGAGAGAGGGGGGGGCTGAGAGCGAAAGAGAGAGGGGGAGGAGAGAGAGAGGGTTGGGGAGGAGGGAGAGAGGGAGGGGAGGGGGGCGAGGGGGGGAGAGGGAGGGGGGAAGAGGGTTAGAGGGAGGAGAGAGAGGGGAAGGAAAGAGAGAGAGGGGAAGGAAAGAGAAGAGAGGGGGAGGGGAGGAGGAGAGGAGAGAGAGAGGGGGAGGAAAGAGAGAGGAGAGAGAGGGGGGGAGGAGAGAGAGAGGGGGGAGGAGAGAGAGGGGGGAGAGAGAGGGGGGAGGGAGAGGGGGGAGGGGGAGGGGAGATAGAGGGGGGAGGGGAGATAGAGGGGGGGAGGGGAGATAGAGGGGGGGAGGGGAGATAGAGGGGGGGAGGGGAGGGGAGAGAGGGGTGGAGGGGAGGGGAGAGAGGGGGGGGGAGGGGAGAGAGGGGGGAGGAGAGAGAGAGGGGGGGAGGAGAGAGAGAGGGGGGAGGAGAGAGAGAGAGGAAATGGAGAGATATGTATATGTGAGTGGAGGCTGAGAAGGGGTAGACAAAGGAGGAAGTGGGCATCAATTTACTTTCTGTGCCACATAATAAAACTCATTAAATGTATATTTTCTTGGGCAGGTTATGACACTAGCGATATATTCAGTTCATAGAGTTTCTCAGTGACAGAGACAGAGTTTCAATTAAAGAGATATGAAGGTTTGCTGTATGAATGGAGCCAGCAACACCAAAATGTCCCCGTCAGTGACTAAGTGGTGTAAGGAGAGAAACCAACATTTATTCCCACTGCAACACTTCAGCTCTTCCAGACAGTCTGAGTATGAGAGGGTGAAGCCAGACGGCTACAGATCTTAATGTGGATGACTAGGGGGAAAGTTGTGTATGCAGAAGAAGTTTAGCTAGCGTGATTATGAATTAATGACTATTTCAAGAGAGTTGGTACCCCGTATTAGATACAGCATTGTAAAGAGGTTAGGGTAAAGTAGTAGGAGTCTTCATTTCCAACCCGTTGCTTCTCTTTACCAATGGAGAGATCTCCTGAGTGGCACAGTGGTCTAAGGCGCCGCATTGCAGTGCTAGCTGGGCCACTAGAGATCCTGGTTCGAATCCAGGCTCTGTCGCAGCCGGCCGCGACCGGGAGACTCATGGGCGGCGCACAATTGGCCCAGCGTCGTCCAGGGTAGGGGAAGGAATGGCCGGCAGGGATGTAGCTCAGTTGATAGAACATGACGTTTGCAATGCCAGGGTTGTGGGTTCGTTTCCCACGGGGGGCCAGTATAAAAAAATAAAAAATAATATGTATTCACTAACTGTAAGTCGCTCTGGATAAGAGCGTCTGCTAAATGACTAAAATGTAAATGTAATGATAGCTGATCCTATAGTGACACCTCCAATCAGGAAAGTACCTGAAAATGTAGCATGTCATCATGACTGATGCTAAGGTTAACAGCAGGCATTTCTCCATGTAGACCAACTTACCCTGGGCTGTCTCCTGAGCTGAGACTGGCGAGAAGGGGGGCGTGGTTGGCCTTCTCCGGAGGCGTCTCCGAGGCAGTCGCCCCTGACGACTGGGACGACACAGACTCGTTGCTGCCTAGCGACGCCTCATCCGAGTTAGAACCGACATCAGGTGACACTGAGAGAAGAAGTAAGGCTGTTAGTTGTTGAGAGCCATTGTTGGACAGAAACATCTTTGTCCTTTATTTAGGGGAGCATGGCTAAACGCAGCTCTGTGGATGACCCTGTGCCGCTACAAATAAACCCCCAAGACAGCAGCTGAATAATGGGGTAGTGGACGACCAGCAGATGACCATGACTAGGGGACGCTAGGAAGTTCCAGCCCAAGTTCACTGTCTAGTACAACTTTTAGTTCCTGTTTTTAAACTGAGGGACAGATGATCCTAAGCAGCAATTCAAGTTAAAAAAGGATGTTGCTTGTTTAAATTTAGCAGTGTGTACTTTCCTTTCACATCAAAGCAACAGGGCGGATTCTGGGAGTCTATATTAAAATGAGTGATGTTCAGACCGAGTCCCCTGGACTCCACTAAAAGCTAATGGCCGACAGTGCTGTGCTGCACTGTGGGAGAAAGTGTTTGCAGATTCTGTCGAAGACTATCATGATCATAAAAGGGCCGTTCATAAAATACTGTAGCTTTTGTGCCCGTATCCCTGGTGTGTATACAGTAGGTCTTATAGAGTCAAAAACGTTGTATGCAGTTAATGTGATATATAGATCAGATGACATATATTAATTATATGGAAATGCCTATATATTGCATGATTATATGACATCTCCTAGCCTCGATTGTATTGAAACAAAGTCTACACAACTACAAGAAGCCGTTTCACTGTCGGAGAAAAGGCAACTGTTGTTTTGTTGTTTGCACGGAGCACAAGATGGAAGACTGCCTGGATGACTTTTCCTGGGTTTTAGAGCCTCTGGAATCAGTTCAACCTGTTTTCTTCTACCATTATTAAAAACGTTCACTACCTCCAGCTGTATTGTTGTGGTAGAGTTAAGAACCATTATTAAAAACGTTCACTACCTCCAGCTGTATTGTTGTGGTAGAGTTAAGAAGATGAAGCATCTATCAAGAGGGTATCAAAACAAAACTCATGTTCCATGTTTACAAGATCCAAATGAGCTATTAGAATTACTTCATTACTTTTACTAAAAAAAAACATGGCCCAAATAGAAGCAAATAATCAAAACCAGAGACTTCTTGTAAAATGCAACAACATCTGCTTTGTACACAATGCCTGGGCCATTTCAAGCATATTAAATACCTGACGCATTAAAAAAAAAGCCACGACCGGGCTGATTGAAACAGGAAATGCCGGTACAATTGTATAAATGCTGGCAGTCGATTAGTTCATTCGACATGGTGGTATCTTTTTGTGTCGGTAAAATGTATTATGCAAGAAATGGAGGTTGAAACGCCTTTATGTGCAAATATTAATATAATCACTATAATTTCAAAGTAAACTTGGAGTTACACCATGATATGTTGACTCAGGAAAGCATGCCGTTTATTAGGATACAGATTAAATAAGTTACGATGAAGTTCACAGGGTGGTGAAAGTGCACGGTGATGAGCTTGATGCTCTTTTCAATAAAAAAAACTGGGAGAATATTCTGGTGACATGATGATCAATGCTTGGCTGCTGTTCGACAAATAGAAATAATCTCATCTAGGTAGCCTACCCGCACTGTATCTCTGAGCTGTTGGCTAGAGCGTACATGCCAAGACCAGAGTGGGAACATTTGCTATATAATGCAACAGTTTGTGACAAAACCATCAGTAGAGTTGAAAATTCGATGGAAACCCATTGAACTTTCTTTTTTGTACATGGGATTTTAACCGCAAAAGTTATTTGTGTGTGCACTACGTCAACACGCACAGCCTTTTATGCGTCAGTTTGAGTCAGTTTGATAGAAACATCTCTGGTGGGAAAATGTGCATATAGTTTTACACAGATTTGAGAATATTCGCATGAAAATCTGTCGCCAATTGGATGGAAACCTAGCTACTGTAGCAAAAAAAAAATTGGACGGAAAACGCAAACAAGCGTTTCATTTTGGACAAGTTCAAGTAGTCTTTCATTTGATGCCTAATGAATACAACGCTGGCTAATGCTAAAAGATAAAACACAGGACTGAACTGAACTGGCCCAGAAAAATATCATCAAAGCACCTGGTCTATTGTCCTGCAAATGAGACAGGATTTTCTTGAAAACCCTGGCAGTCCTATCTTTTAATAACGTGTCAACATATTGTTAAAGCATTTGTTCTGCTTCACCTGTGTTTTGGCAAAATGTAAGATTTCCATCTTAGAGAGCACCTTTGAAAATACAGTAAGGTATAAAACATAAAACTTGATCTGTAATGATCTGATCCAGGAAAATATGATATTCCTGGCGCTCCAAACTGCAGTGTCCTCAGAAATCCAATCCCTGTTGGACAGTTGCCCCGCGCAAATGTGTTAATACACTTTCCTTTCAAGGGCTGAAGCTACGGCCACACAGAGACGAGTGAGAATGGATGAGAAACGCATATGCCTTCCTCACTGTCCATTGTAGACCGTCAAATGTTTTCAACTTTTAACGCACGAGTTGCATATGTACTGTAAAACTGATAGACAAATCTATGGATGCCATCAGTTCTCTCCATTGTCTTTCAACCATTATGAGCCCCATAGAAAAACCTTTGGCTCATCAGTATTCCATGGATACAAAATGTAGGTGCGGCCGCAGCCTTCAACGTAGTCGTCCATATCTAGTGGGAATATTTGCCCACACATGCATTTAAAAATAAAAATAAAACATTCTCCGCCAGGTAGTTAGACATCTCACTTTAAAAAACATTATCCACAGGCTCAGATAGAACACACTATGGTTAAAAAGAGAGGATTAAATTTTTTCATCCCAGATGTTATTAAAATACCCCAATGGTAAAAGCCAGGTGCAATATGAGTGAATGGAGAGGAGTCAGTCTGGTAAGCAGATTAGGCCTCCTTTAGGTGGTGTTCCAGGAGGACAGGGGATCTGACGAGGCCTGGGGGATGGGGATCTGGGGTTTACACCAGGCTCACCTGGTGCAGCAGTGTGGGAGGAGAGGGCTGGTACAGTAGTGGTACAGGTGTCCCCTTTATATTAGTGATGATCTATAAAGCTATTGTGTAGGTTTACAAAGGCTCAACACTAGCTTCATGATTGCTTTATATGGTACGGGAACTTTTACTGGGATCATTCAGTCACATACTTGTCATGAAAGAAAGGGTCCCTCATTCCAACCCAACCTTTCAGCAAGCCTGGCTGAGGATGTAACGTTAGGGTTCCGTCTCTAACCTGTCTGCAGGTCCACTGACTGTGGGTTATAGACGGCCAGGGGTCGGTTCTGTCTCTTACCTGTCTGCAGGTCCACTGACTGTGGGTTATAGACGGCGAGGGGTCGGTTCTGTCTCTTACCTGTCTGCAGGTCCACTGACTGTGGGTTATAGACGGCCAGGGGTCGTTCTGTCTCTTACCTGTCTGCAGGTCCACTGACTTTGGGTTATAGACGGCCAGGGGTCGGTTCTGTCGAACCGACAATTTCTTGGACTGCCTGGTGGGGGCGGAGAGACCCGGGGAAGATGCGTCTGGGACATCTCCAAAGATCTGAAACAAAAAGTGTGTGTAAGTGTGTGTGAGTGGCGGGGGATACTGTGGTGTGTGTGTGTGTGTGTGTGTGTGTGTGCACGCGTAACCAAAATGTGTTTAACTCTCCCTCAAAGAAAAGACGCAGTATATTGAGCAGAGGCATGTCCTCATTTGACCTTAGTAAATATGTGTTTTGAAGAGCTCACATCTTTGACGCAAGTCAGATAGCAAAGCTATCTAGGGACAGTTGAGATGCTCTTTGCTCACTTATTGAGCACTAAGAAAACACATCAAATCTGCCTTTGCAACTTCCATCAGGGTTAATATAAACTCAGACCCCGAAACACTAAGAAGGCCAAATCCAGTCCAGGGAATAAGGGATCTGCTGAAAGCAGGATTGTGTTTTTTACAGTGATGGAAAAAAGTATTTGATCCCCTGCTGATTTTGTACATTTGCCCACTGACAAAAAAATGATCAGTCTATAATTTTAATGGTAGGTTTATTTAAACAGTGAGAGACAGAATAACAACAACAACAAAAAATAACAATGTCAAAAATGTTATAAATTGATTTGCATTTTAAATGAGGGAAATAAGTATTTGACCCCTCTGCAAAACATGACTTAGTATTTGGTGGCAAAACCCTTGTTGGCAATCACAGAGGTCAGACGTTTCTTGTAGTTGGCCACAAGGTTTGCACACATCTCAGGAGGGATTTTGTCCCACTCCTCTTTGCTGATCTTCTCCAAGTCATTAAGGTTTCGAGGCTGACGTTTGGCAACTCAAACATTTAGCTCCCTCCACAGATTTTCTATGGGATTAAGGTCTGGAGACTGGCTAGGCCACTCCAGGACCTTAATGTGCTTCTTCTTGAGCCACTCCTTTGTTGCCTTAGCCGTGTGTTTTGGGTCATTGTCATGCTGGAATACCCATCCACGACCCATTTTCAATGCCCTGGCTGAGGGAAGGAGGTTCTCACCCAAGATTTGACGGTACATGGCCCCATCCATCGTCCCTTTGATGCGGTGAAGTTGTCCTGTCCCCTTAGCAGAAAAAAACACCCAAAGAATAATGTTTCCACCTCCATGTTTGACGGTGGGGATAGTGTTCTTGGGGTCATAGGCAGCATTCCTCCTCTCCAAACACGGCGAGTTGAGTTGATGCCAAAGAGCTCAATTTTGGTCTCATCTGACCACAACACTTTCACCCAGTTCTCCTCTGAATCATTCAGATATTCATTGGCAAACTTCAGACGGGCATGTATATGTGCTTTGTTGAGCAGGGGGACCTTGCGGGCGCTGCAGGATTTCAATTCTTCACGGCGTAGTGTGTTACCAATTGTTTTCTTGGTGACTATGGTCCCAGCTGCCTTGAGATCATTGACAAGATCCTCCCGTGTAGTTCTGGGCTGATTCCTCACCATTCTCATGATCATTGCAACTCCACGAGGTGAGATCTTGCATGGAGCCCCAGGCCGAGGGAGATTGACAGTTATTTTGTGTTTCTTCCATTTGCGAATAATCGCACCAACTGTTGTCACCTTCTCACCAAGCTGCTTGGAGATGGTCTTGTAGCCCATTCCAGCCTTGTGTAGGTCTACAATATTGTCCCTGACATCCTTGGAGAGCTCTTTGGTCTTGGCCATGGTGGAGAGTTTGGAATCTGATTGATTGCTTCTGTGGACAGGTGTCTTTTATACAGGTAACAAGCTGAGATTAGGAGCACTCCCTTTAAGAGTGTGCTCCTAATCGCAGCTCGTTACCTGTATAAAAGACACCTGGGAGCCAGAAATCTTTCTGATTGAGAGGGGGTCAAATACTTATTTCCCTCATTAAAATGCAAATCAATTTATAACATTTTTGACATGTGTTTTTCTGGATTTGTTTGTTGTTATTCTGTCTCTCACTGTTCAAATAAACCTACCATTAAAATTATAGACTGATCATTTGTTTGTCAGTGGGCAAACGTACAAAATCAGCAGGGGATCAAATACTTTTTTCCCCTCACTGTAGGGCACTCAAGAGAAAACGTTTCGCAATAGAAAACAAAAATGACCATTTCCATTGGACAATCTCTCTGTTTTAACTCTGTTTAGTGCCTAATGAACAGGAGCTAGGTCCTGCTGACCCGCTCTGACGAGCAGCAGGGAGAAAATAAACAGAGTCTGGACTGGAGGAGGCTCACTGTACAGCTTGTTTACGTAGTGCATGTGTTTACATAGACTAACTTCAGATGTGGAGTTGAAAGAAAATAGGCAGAGAGAGGATCACGGGGGGAGTTGGGAGGAAAAAGGAGGACGATACAGAGAGAAATCTGATACGGTTGAGAGTGTAGCAGAGTTTCAGCAATCTCTCTCCCTCCCATCTCTGCAGATGGATGTGAATGTAAAACACTGTCTGCTGGCATCTGGGGGTATCAACAGTCTGGAGAGAAGGAGAGTGGGGGGGGGGGGCTGGGCCTGAGAGGAAAGCTAATGTCTGTCTGTCTGTCTGGCAGCGAAACTCCCTCATCTCTCGTCTCGCAGCTCAGCACTTTTCTTAAAGCTTCCACTGGTATTATATTCTGCCTCTGACACCAAGTCTTCCATCACCTTGTGGTGTGTATTTTTTTATTTATTTCACCTTTATTTAAGGTGAAGTTCTGGAACTATTTTTTATATAGAAGTTTCTCCTCACCAAAACTTTAATTGCTTGGTGGTTGAGCGCTTTCTATTATTTGGACTATTCAAAATAGATGAGATCGAAATTGACCAGCACTCCATGGTCAATTAATGATTCTGAGTTTAGGGGTACTCTTGGCATGTTATAGCTGGCCAGAATACTTAGCACAGATCACATACTAATCTCAACCCTTTCTGTTTTGGCTCTGGGAATTGACCCCCTCTATAGAGGCAGATTACTATTGACATTAAAAGCAGATTACAGTTATGTCGTAGCATGGCTCAAAATGGGACTTATATGCTGTAGGTAAGGCAAAGGACCTTGCATGTACCCTTGTAGATGTAATCAAGAGTACCATGACATACTGGATATAGTTGTTAAGCACAAAAGGGGCAAAGTGAGAATCCCTGCTTTGTAAATCAACCGCTGGGCAGATGGAATGATGTCAGCCAGGTACTGTAGACAGTTCAAAGTGATCATCTCTATATTATGTAAACTAAAATACATAGATCAAAACTATAATGCTTCTTATCAATAAGCTGCTTTACAGTTTCACTCGTCTTAGAGCCCTAGCCCAAGACATACAGGGATTTCAATTACAGTGACAAGTTTTAATGTACCCATAAAATGTGAAGAATATCGCAAAAGATAATATGCTTACATATTGTCTAAAAGTCACTCAGAGCAATGTCCTCAAAATCCCTCTATAATTCTATTGCCAGCACTGGAGAAAAGTCTCAGCTGTGAGTTTAGCGGTGGGTTTTAGACAAAGCTGCAACCAAAGCTGAAAGATGCAACCAGAGGAAAGCTTGAGAGGAACAATATTAGAGGATCGGTCTATATATATATATATATATATATATATATAACGTTACTTTGGTCAGGCGGACAAGTTCAGGAGTGCGTTCAGACGTCTGTTTTGTTCAAGAGAAGAACCCAGTGGTTACCTTCTCGTGCTGCTCGATGAGGATCTCCACCACAATGTTCTGGAACTTGAGGTCCATGATGGCGGCCACCGTATCCTCTTGGGGCCTCATCAGGGTGGGACCAAACACCACACCCAGGTTGGCCACCGTCATCAGGTTCAACTTACTGTGAGCTGCCACACTGCATGGGGAGACCAGGGAGGATAACAATTCATGAATTCATTGACAATTGATTTATAGAGTGCTTTTCCCTGACGTTTAAAATGTTTTACATTGGGGGATACATACACTTTAGTAGGCCTGTATACTGTAAAGAATTTGGCTAGAAAATTCAAATTCGCTTTGAAGATCTATTTACTCCATGTCTGACAGCTTACTAATGTCTGTCTGACAGTTTGCCAACTTGCCAAGAAAGGAAAGTGTTGCTACCACCTTGTTATGTCAGTCAGAGGTGTCTAGAACAGCATCTCTGGCCTGGCCTCATAGGTGTTAGCTAGCGTTCTGACTGACATCATTACCTGGTTCATCACCATTCCATAGATTGTTCTTGAACATCGACCTTCTCTCCAAAACTTCACTTCAAACTTTTTCAGTTGCTTTTCAGCTGATTCACAGTAAGTGGACGCTAAATTGGGTTGTTTTTTCTAGGGGAGGAATTTTCGCTTGACTTTGGAATGACTCTGAAGAGATGCCAAAAACTGCAGACAGATTTGATTTGATTTATTTGATTTGATTTATTAGGATCCCCATTAGCCGATGCCAATGGCGACAGCTAGTCTTATTGGGGTCCGACACATAACGAAAAAGACATTACAGACAAAATACTTTACAATTAACATACATACAAACATGAACATGTAGTGTGTGCGCATCTATCAGCTACACGTACATGTCAGTACATACACACAAGTAGTTCACATGGGGTAGAGGCGTTGTGCCATGAGGTGTTGCTGTATTTAAAAAACTGCATTGTTGGTTAAGGGCTTGAAAGTAAGCATTTCACTAATGTCTACACCTGTTGTATTCGGCGCATGTGGCAAATCAAATTTGATTTGATTTGTTTTTTGAAACAGCGAAACCCAAATTTCAATCTATCATCATTTTGAGTTATGACGAATCAAGTGAATCAACTGTCGCTTTTATGATTCTGACATTATCCTCTGATACTTTTTGATAAGATAGATACAAATGCATTACTTTTGACGAGACTGGAATGCAAACATTCAAAAGTCCTCCGTTGACTTTCAGTTTCCTCAGATTTCCCAGTTTGTCTCAAAAGCTGTCACGGTTTGATCAATATCTAAGAATTTACTTAAATTGACAATTTTGCATATTAAGAAATGTATGTTGTTCATAAAAAATCTAAAAAGTTAAAACACTAATTAAAATCAAAGTCATATAAGACCAGTAAATATATTATCCTTAAAATGTATAAAATGACACACTCATTCTGCAGAGAGATGGTTGAAATGCATCAAAGGGAGCCTTTGCAGACCTAAATACGTTGCCTAGTGACAACCTTCCTTTATCACATCTCTAAAACCATTTCAGATTGCGGTGTGAAATTTTGGCTTTGCCTCTCTCCCTGCAGGACAAGCTAACACACGCACAGTCAAACACATGCAGACACAAACACACACGGCCAACTTCAATAAAAAAAAACTATGACGAGCTCTCCAGTCGGAAGAATTTCACGCTGGATAATCCAAATTCAATAGCTGCACTTAAATGCCTTTTTACTTCTACTCTGAGAAACCTGCGGCAGGTTTTCTATGAAATAAGATCCTCCAGACTTTGATTGCCTCAGGGAACGCGGATTATATACTTATCTTCAATTTGCTACTATTTAGTTTGTGTCGGAAAAAAGAAAAAGCGAGTTGCTGAGGTAAAACCTTGTAATGTTAGCAAACATTATTTTGAAATCTCGGATCCTATCTAATCTCTGAAAGGGCGAGTTGTGTAACAGCCAGTTTGGAGTGAGGGGTAATCCCAGAGGAGCGGGTGGGAAATAGAGGTTGAATCTGAGCAGTCCATTTCATTACAGGCATAGTGAACTGTTGAGGAAGTTCAAACTTCTGACTCTGCTATTGTGGAGGGTGCTGTGGTGTTCTAAGACAGGGTGGGGAGGGAGTTTTCTGCCTGCAGTTAGTTGGAACAGTAAATGCGAGAAAGGAAAGATTGATATGTGTGTGTGTGAGAGAGAGAGAGAGAGAGACAGAGAGAGATAGAGAGAGCGAGAGCGAGAGCGAGAGAGAGATGGTGAAAACAGGAAGAGGGAATGGAACAAGGATAGTGGAGAAAGAGTATGAGAGAGGACGGGGCAGAGAGTAAGGCTGATAACTCACGTAGCCAGGTGTTTCATCAGTAGCCCCAGGACCAGGCGGTTCTTCTCAGGCAGCTTGTGGACCAGGCAGTGGATGGCTTGGCTACGAGACTCTGGACTACCACCCTCTGTTTAAAAACATGACAAACATGGTTATTTGACAGACACTTATCGAAAAAGTCGCTTACAGAAGTGCCAACATCGACAGTGACACAGACTCAGTCTATGTGGACCATGTGGAAATCAAACCCACAACCCCACCATGCTGTAGGCGTCGCCTTTATTGCTCTGCAGAAATCCTTGGTTGAATTGAAATTGGTACTTAATGAAAGTAAAACTAAGTATATGTTATTTTCCAAATCACATAAAAATGTATCTGATGATTTATGCATATGTACTTTGGATGGTGCCCTCATTGACCGTGTCCCCGCTTATAAATATCTGAGCATCTGGATTGACGAAAAGCTATTGTTCTCAAAGTATGTTGATGAGTTAGTTAAGAAATTGAGATTTAAAATAGGCTTCTTCTATAGGAGCAGGTCCTGCCTTTCGCTTAATAGCAGAAAACTAATCATTCTGTCAACATTCATTCCGGTTATTGACTACCGTCTATATGAACGCAGCTGCCACTGTACTGAAGCCATTGGATGCGTTTATCATAGTACATTGCCCTCTTGTCTATAAAGCCCTCTTGCATAAACTTCTGCCATACCTCACCTCACTGTTAACCTTTAGACGTATAAATTCGCAGATTCAGGGATGGCTAACCCTGGAGATCCCTTCAATCTCCACAGAGTTAGGAAAATCTGCTTTTCGTTTTTTTGCACCTCTCATGTGGAATGATATGCAAAACTCCTTAAAAAGTTGGTGGAGTTGGTGCCTTTAGGGCAATTCAGATGGACGTTAGAAGGCTTTTTAAATGATTCATATGATTGTGCTTTGCTTTTCATGTTTTGTGTAATTGTTGTTTATTGATGTGTTGATACAGGGCTCATCTGCGAAAGAGACCGTGGTCTCAGCATGACTCCCTGGCTAAATAAATACAATTGGAATCCACCAAAAACAGAACAAACATTTCTGTGTTATTACAGTGCTGTGCTATCCATTCCTTAGGTGGCAAGACTCCACAACGGAAAAACTGTACAGCATAGAATGAGAAGGATTTGGATTTCCCTGTGTTAATCCAACCATAGACATTTTTTGATTGAGTAGTGAGTGCTCTGGTGCATTGAGATTATCTTACTCTGGGGGGAGTGGTCACAGTAGGAAATGTGGAACCACCGACTCAGGATGTATTCATTGGAGGCACAGGGTTGTCCTTGTCATGTTAATTTGTAGGCTGCTCCAGTAAATATTGGTACAGTTACCGTAGGGCAATTCCACGGTAACAGAATGATGCGGAGACTCCGATTTTTCACTTTAAAATGTATGCCAAACAAAAACCAATGATAGCTAATTTAATAATAAAATAATAATAATAAGCCATTTAGCAGACGCTTTTATCCAAAGCGACTTACAGTCATGCGTGCATACATTTTTGTGTATGGGTGGTCCCGGGGATCGAACCCACTACCTTGGCGTTACAAGCGCCGTGCTCTACCAGCTGAGCTACAGAGGACCACAACAATTTAAACAAACCACACAACTCTATGCACAAGGACGACTTTGAACAAGTTCCACTGAACATTTTACAAAATTACATTTAGTTGAACAGTGCAGATGCAAAGTTTGGTAACTTTGCATCAGCTGTCAATTTGTTTTGCCCAGTACAAGCTACCATACAATAAAGCAATGGATGCCGTTTACATAGGCTTAAATCAGCTAGTGTAGGTGCATCTACAATGGGTTTTTTCATATTTAAAAAAGAAAGCAGTAAAGGGTTAACAACCGTGAATAAAGAGTATGGAGATGAACTAACAGTAAACTTCTTGTTTGATGCTGATATTAGACATGTCAGAATTTTGCCAGAGGATATGTAGGCTACTGTTGCTGGCTATAGAGAGATAGCTTTATACTACAGAAGCTACCGTGTAAAAGGGTTGCGATAAAACCCACAAGATCATCCCTTAAACATTTCCTCACACACCCACACACAGGCATCTGATGGCTACTGCCCACACACACAGAAACACAGCGTGCGTACACACACACACACACACACACACACCATTACTATGGGAACAACACAAATTTGAATAGGGGAAAAAAGCTTACGGATGCTGTCATCTTTCAGAACATATTATTGCTAATCCATTTTTTTTCTACCTGCATTATGAGGGCATTGCAAACGGCTGATAAAACACTCCATCGTGATCCAATTATGGGACTAGAGGGTAATTCATGTTATGAGGATCACTCAGGACGTCATGTAGGCTATTGGAGTAAGATTATATAGGGAGAGAAATTTAACGTTTCTCTCTGTTCAAAGTCACTGGGCCATTTGAGGACGTTAGTGTAGGATACTAGGATTTATAGTGTTTAACAGGTGGTAATATTTCCTTTTTAAGTGACCTTAATTGCATAGAACCAGAGGTTACTTTAATGGCAGATGAAGGTGGAATAATTAAAAGGTGTGTGTGTGTGTGTCGGTCCATGTGAGTGAGTGTGATGAAGACATCTCTCTGGGTCATATGAAAGGATTTATGGTCACATGCTGAGGCACTTTTACAGAGGGGCCTGTTTACAGTGCTCCTGAAAAGCAGGTCAGGAGGACTGGCCTTGGACTTCAGTGATTGATACCACACATACATGGACCAACACACACACACAGAAACTTGCACGCACACACGCACAAATTCACAAACACAGACAATGAAAACAAGCATTTGTTTAGACTCTACAAGATGTGGAACATTCAAAACAGTTTCACTGAACTACTGAGACGATGAAAATGATTCATAGCCAATCTAACTGCGCCAGGACACTTACTTAGACGATGAACTGTGTCTCACAGACAAACACTTGCTAGTCATGCATACAGCATTGGACTCATTGATAATGTGTAATAAAATAATAGATAAGTATTCATTTGCTCTGCTCCTACACTCCTGTGAGTAGTTTTACATCTGGTTTGAGAACAACTGTATTGTGAGTGAGGAGGACGGCCCAAACTTACTTGCAGGGGCGATAAAGTCTTTGTACAGTCCATAGGTCATCAGTGGCTCAGGAAGACTCCTTGAGAGAGAGAGAGAGAGAGCAGAGAGAGCGCAAAAGAGAGAACAATAGCAAAAGAGGGAGAGAGAGAGCGCAGAAAAGAAGAGCGGGAGAAGGTGGGGGGACAGAAATAGACGCAGCACTGTTTTATAGGGTCTGCACACAACAATGATTAATGTGGCCGAGTCGGGGATGGAATTAGATGGTGCACCATGCCACGGTGAGATAACCAAGTTCTGAAGGTCCTTTCATGGTGCTGCACCAGGCCCTGTGCCAAGGCTACTTAGCCTCCCCTGAGGAACCAGAGGAGCAGGGGAGGAGGAGAGAGGCTGACCCTCTGGCTCTGCAGCAGGCCAGAGGGAGACAAATGGAGGATGATTTACAGTAAATCTACTGTCTCTACTGCAGACTTAAGCCTGTAATAAGGTTTCAGTTGACTCAATGGATGAGTTTAAGTACATCATAGGTTTGGACGGTTTTCTAGATTGTTAGATTACTTGTGTAAAAAAACAAAACACATTTTATCATATGATGTGTGCAATGTAGAAATGACAGTCACATTAACGGCTGTAATATCTCAGTAGCAATCTAAATGTTGTCTTAATTATAATTTAGCGAGTGCTTATACAAATGTATTAATATGCATGTGTGAATTGGAAATGTGTTTTTTTGCATATCCCAACTCTCCCTGAGACACCATTGGGTGGGGTCATGGCCAGGGTCAGCCATTATCAACGGAGACCCTGGAGCAAGTAGGGTTAAGTGCCTTGCTCAAGGGCACAGACAGAATTTCCATCCTGTCTGCTCGGGAATTCGAACTAGCGACCTTTCGGTTACTTGTCCAACGCTCTAATCCCACTGGCTGACTGTCAAATTGCATTATGAAACAGGTATAACTCCTTGAGATAAAACAGAAAGGCAGTTTGCTGCCTGGGACTAGCCTGGTCCCAGATCCATTTCTGCTGTCATGCCAATTTATGCCAATGACCATAGGAGTTGGCAAGACCGCACAAACAGATCTGGGACCAGCCTGGGAGAGAGTCAGTCCCATGACCCACAGCATGCAACATCAAACTACTTCCTGTAAGGGTCGCGGGCGGGCAGCAAAACCCGGCCAGTCACAACACACAGTGCTGTGCCTTCTGACCTGTTCCTGTCCTGTCGGCCTATCAGAGGACAGACTGACTGATACCATTCCAGTTCCCATGCTTTTACATTGACTACTGAGCTAAAATCCTCTTTATTTATTGTTGTTCAATTGATGTAAAAATGGACTTGGCTCACTAAAAGTTTATTATTTAATAGCCTATCTGGCAATTGCACCAGTGAACTTGCCAATCTTTTATAATTTCATTTTGGTAATGAAACCGTTTACATCACATGGAGTACTGAACGAGCCTAATGAAGTAATTCCAAAACAAGTGCAGAAGAATCTGTAACAGACTGGGCTGAGGTTAACGATAAGTTGGCTATAATTTTATTCAGTAAATCGCTCCATAACGAACCAAACTTCTAACATCCCTTCAGTTTATGCAGCACTAAAGTATGTAAATATCACTCATTAGTTTCCGTTGGATACCGTAATTGCATTGGCGCCAGAAATATGCAGTGTGTGAGTTTGTTTCATTTAGCTAACAGAACTTTGTCTTAGCTTTTAGGGTACATTTAACTTGTTACATTGCAGATAGCCCTAGATTAAAAAGAGAAACACTATCATTTAAATGAATTGCTATTTGCAAAAGCAAGGAATAACAACTTATAATCGATTGCCTCATCACTGAACTATAAAAACAGGATTCCTTTAATATGTGGCATCAAATCAATCACTCAAATCAGGTTGGATCAGAGGAAAAGCAATGACACTAAAAACCCTATCATGCTTATGTTACTGGTATGCTTCTCATATCACTGCTTGGTTGTGTGGCAGTGATGGTCAATGATTTTAGTTCAAATACCTGCCACAGGCCACCATTTTGTTTTTCACCTGGTCACCTAATCAATACATTCAAAGATGGATGATAAACTATGTGAAGCCAGGGATGCACATCTTCTTCCTAGAGAGAGGCTAAGACTCCCTACCAATTACCAAGGGCGTCTCAGGTCAACAACGGATTTCCTAGAACACACAGCGACTGAGAATAATGAAGTCAGAGAGACGGAGTCGGTTGATGAAGTGGATCGATTATGTGTCTGAATTCAAATGCATGGATGTCAATGCGGCAATGTGAATAGTCCTGTTGCATTGCAGGAGCTGAGCTCCAGGAAATTATTTCATGCTTCTGCCCCCAGAGTAGAATAAATTCAAACTCAGACATCCCAGACAATGACGAACAGTTCTAATAATGTCTACACAGCTTTCTAATTGCTAATAAGACATAATAGCCTACATGAATACATAACCTAGCGATTATGTAGCAGACTATGAGTGATTCATGGTGACTGATACACAAAGGATCCTTACCTCATATACAGCTTTAGTGTGCTGGTGACTGTTTTCACATCCCAGTCCTCACACGTCGACAGATCCACATCGTTGCTCTTCTCATCTGTAATGAAACAGAAACATTCAAAAAGGTTTTAAACTCCACACATAATCAACAAATTATACAAAGCACCATAAAAATAAAGTTTATTTTAATATAGTACACTCCAATTCCCATGATACCCTGAGCCTAAACCTGTTTTGTAAGTCAACTAGTGTATTGTAACTTAACTAACCCTATGGTGAAGTGAACATCTCCAAATAAGCTAAAATCTAAATAACGTGAAATGTGTCTTATGTGGATAAAATCATTGCAATAGCCTTGAGGAACAGCTCTATCTAATGGAGATGGCTGGCTGGCTTAAACTATACCCTTCTCACACTACTGAGCCAAACTGGACCGAGCCAAGCTTAGCTGTACTGGGCTGGCCTGATGAATAATCCACCATAGTTGTGTGTGTTTGAGTCAGAGGTTGGTGCGAGGCCAAGCCCCAGGTCACCAGGAGGACTCCAAGGGGTTAGACTTGGTGGGAGGTAGGTTGCTGCTCTAGGCCATTTATTTACTTCATTTGACTGTATCCCTTCACTACTAAAACCAGAAGGGCTGTGTTTCTCTACCCACAGAACAGTGGCCTGTCCAACATCAATGGGCTGGACCAAATGTTTTCCTAGAAGGCCAACAGCCAAATATGTGTGGGTGTGTACACAGCTACATATGGTGTGTGTGTGTGTGTGTGTGTGTCTTTAAGCTACTGTATTGTACACATCTAAATATGTACTAACCAACATTGGGACATGACTGACTCTACACTAGTAGTATCCAAGTCCTTTTACCTCATCTTTATTCCCAGCAGCGAAATTCCCAGCTGTAAAATATCCATTCTCTATGCTAAGCTCTAAGAGTTCTGTCAATCAGAGAGATTTGTGAGCACAGTGGGAAAATAATGTGATCCACTTCTGCTGCTTTGGCCTCATTCTAACCCCTCCATTGAACTAGAGATTTTCCCTACGTCTGTTCCAGTGAACTGTCAACTATGCACAGGGTGGCGATCTTGTCATGACTGTAACAAACGAATCACCCCATGACCCCCATTCCCTCTGATTGGACTCTGGCCATGTTAGTGGGTGAGAGATGACAGGAGGCGCGGAGGGAAAGAGGGATGAAGCAAATCTAGCGCCTTTCTGCAGGGTTTTAGCCCGGTGCTGTGTTGTGTTAACCCACGCATCATCCTGAACATACACTGATATGGCTGTTGGTGAAACGCTTGTGTTTTATGGTTAACAGTGTTGAGGGAATAAAAAGACAGTTAACATGACGAAGACAGCTTATCCAAATACATGATTGGTGACTTCAATCTCAAGTTTCTCACACTGTTACCTGCGTCCATATGGTATTGGAAAGAAAACAGATACTAATTGATCCCAGTCTACAGTAGCAGACAGTGTGCTAACGGGCTGTAAAGTGTGAGTCGGCAGGTTCAGGTGGGCTCTGGGACAGCCTGGTGGCAGACTGGGTTTGTTGCCATTCAGATTCAGAACACACAGCCGACTAGACAGAGATGGGGTCTACTAGAGACGGCAGTAGATGAGAAGAGAGAGGACGGCAAGGGAAGAAAAGGAGGGAAGAGGAGAAAGAAGGAAGAGATGAGAGGGGGATAAAAGAAGAACAGGAGAGGTTGGCAGGGTAGAAAGAGTAGGAGAGAGAGAGAGAGCATTTAGAGGAGAGAGGAGGGAGAAGGGCAAGGCAATCTAATTTCCAGCTCCCGGTGAGCGACTGAGCGAGCCAAGTGAAGTCCCTGCAAGGATGGACGGGTGCAGGCAGGAAGGGGGCCTCTCAGGCACCTCCCGGCTGTCTGAATGCCAATGAGGTACCAGCAGCACTCTGAGCCTTATCATGGTCGTCTAAGTCAAAGGAAACCATAATTCTGAATACTACCAAGTAGATCAGAGCAGGGTGCACAACGCCTACTGTATTAAAGTAACTGTCCAGTGGTTCCAGATTTCTATGAAATATTAATTAATTACAATATGAGTGAAATCATTTTCCTTCCCCCAAAAATGTAATTAAGTATGTTAAAAAAAAAAGATGTTCTGTGTTGGAATGGTTTGGGCGTACCCCAACTCAACGGTGTCGGCGTACCCCAACAGAATGGTGTGGGCATATACCGGTCGTTAAAAACATTCATGCAAGTAGACCATCCTACTCAGGATGACATCACCCTCTACGACGAAATAGCAAGCATTTTTGAAACGGTCTGTTTTAGATACATGTTTGAGGTGGGGTTTTTGAAGTGTTTTTTTTCTCCAATTTATGCGTTGGCCAAAAATACGAGTATAGGATGAATCAACAACATTATTTGGGTGTGAGTTAACAGAAAATGTACTTTTAAAAGTGAGATTTTCACTGGACCGTTACTTTAAGGGGTGAAAAATGTGCATGTCTTACCGATCATTAGGCTAAGGAGCTTCTGGACTTTGGAGCTGACCCCCACCACTCTGTACAGGCCCTGGTCATTGATACCTGACAGACAAGACAGTTTACATGGTTAAATGGCCCTTAATAGCACAAACACAATCATAAGATAATTAGTGGATAAACTTTGAAAATACCGTTGGGCTTCTAGACTGAGTGTACAAAATATTAGGAACACCTGCACTTTGCATGACAGACTGATCAGGTGAAAGCTATGATCCCTTATTGATGTCACTTGTTAAATCCGCTTCAATCAGTGTAGATTAAGGGGAGGAGACATGTTTAAGAAGGACTTTTTAAGCCTGGAGACAATTGAGACATGGATTGTGTATGTGTGCCATTCAGAGGGTGAATGGGCAAGACAAAATATTTAACTGCCTTTGAATGGGGTATGGTATTAGGTGCCAGGTGCACCGGTTTGAGTGTGTCAAGAACTGCAACGCTGCTGGGTTTTTCAAGCTCAACAGTTTCCCATGTGTATCAAGAATGGTCCACCACCAAAGGACATCCTACCAACTTCACAACTGTGGAAAGCATTGGAGTCAACATGGGCCAGCATCCCTGTGGAACGCTTGACACCTTGTAGAGTCCATGCCCCGACGAACTGCGGCTGTTCCGAGGGCAAAAGGGGGTGCAACTCAATATTAGGAAGGTGTTCTTAATGTTTTGTACACTCAGTGTATATGTAGCACTACTACCTGGAAACTATGAACAGTGGCCACGGCACAAGACATGACTGGATATTGGTGCAAGTGTGCCCTCATGTGTTAAAAGGGAGACATTGCAACATTTCCCAAAACCCCCTTTACCACTCTGCCCTCTAGCCCAGGGCTGGGCAAACTTTGGCCTGAGGGAGGTTTGGGTAAAAAATAAATACAATTTAAAAAATACAACCATTGGCCACTCTTGAACCTCTAAAACTTGATAGAAAGTAGGTGTAAATTATAACGGACTTATAAATATTTTCAAATAACTGCTCTTTTTCTGGCCCGCAAATAGCTTTTGACAAACAAATCAGTGCGGGAAAAAAAATATGTGCGACCCGTCGCTGAATTTTTAAACCCCGGAGACAAAATGATTGCCCACCCCTGCTCTAGCCAGTCAGCTAACCTCACAAAGTATGCTTCTGCAGGCTTTATATTGCCTAGGCATTCCTATTGTCATCATGCATCGTCTCACCTCTCGTCTCAATGGCGTTGATGGCATTCTTCACAAATGACAATCCTACGTCATCTAGCTGTGCATCGACTGCAGAGTCATGACAACACAATTATTTGAATTATCGTCATGTCATTTGAATTATCACAGAGATTACATCGAAATTGAGATCAGGGCTTCTAAATCATCGTATACTTACTTCCTCGTTCTTTTAAATGGGTTTTACCCAAGTACTGCCCAACCTGTAAAAAATACATTCGATTTAGCTTTCCACAGATAATTTGATATTCAAGAGGTTACCACAAAGCAAAGATACTTCTGTTGGCATTAATGCACCACTTTCATAGCATTTCAGTAGCGTTCAATAGACAATAGAAACTCCAGTAGAGCTGTCAGGAAGATGTGGTTACTCACTGGTTCTTTCCCCCCCATGGCGTGGATCCAGAACTTATGGTCATCTTCCGACAACGACTGGACCGTGAGGACCGTGCCCGGACTGGGAACAGAACACACCTCACAATTATTTATTGTAATCGCCTTGTGATTGTTTTTTAATGGCGAGAGGGCTTGTTCCGTTTTTTTATTAAGGCTGCTGCATGACAACATTTCACCCTTGGGGATTGTAAAGTACAGTCAATCTCATCTCATTTTAGCTCTGTCAGACTGGGCCTGGGGTTCCAACAAACTACTATTACTACTAAGTTAACTCATGTGTTTAAGACTGATCTAGAGTCTGTCCTAAATGTGCCAGAGGGGCTGGGCTCTCAAATAGCAAAAATACAGGAATACCTGAGCATCATTAACCCCACTCTTTATAATAGGCTACCACATCAGGCTAACCCTAACCTGTTGCATTCAGGTACCATATATCTTACATCTGTAGGCTGACAAGCAAACCTGTTACCTTACACATGTAGGCGCAACTCAAATTTCAAACCCTCTAAGCCTGGGGGGGTTGTGGTTGCTAATAATACCCCAGACTGAATAGCAGTTTGGTTCAGTGGAGTGACATAAAGAGATATATCTATTACAGCAAAGCGTAGCAGAGCATAGACAATCCTCTCAGCTATGTGGAGGGGCCATCTTCCATGACAAATCCTCTCCAACCCAACCCTGTTGAGCTCGCTAAGCTCTACTGTACACAGGACCTGTGTGGAGCGAAGGCTTCAAGCAGAACTGTTCATGGGGAGTGTTACTGTGTATTTGGGAAGGTTGCAAACATTGCATGAATAAGCTACAAGTGTGGCAAATCACACATTTTCCATAGACCTCGTCCCCCTAGATGGTACTGACCGACCCCCCTGGTCTGGTGATGTTGAGGGGAATCCCTCTAAAATCCCCCTTATTTCCTAGATGACACAAGATACTTTAACAGGTGGTTGTGGAACGTTTCAGTATTACCACAGAGAACTCATGTTGATGACTAAAGTGATTGAGTAACGTAATGGGTGTAGTGCGACGCGACAACATACCGGTCTGTGATTTCTATATCGAGACAGAACCGCCTGTCCAGCATGTCTGTGGTTTTGCGGACGCAAGACTTGAGGGTGACCGATTCAGTCTCGCCCTGAGGGAGAGAATCACTGTTCAGAGAGCCTGTTCTGATGGCAAGAAAGAGACAGTTGTTCCTTATAAATCATCAGTCTTAACCTAGGAGGACTACAGACTGCACTGTTTTAATGCGGGTTTCAATAGTAATTGTTGATTTGACAAATGTATTTGAATAGGGACAGATACACACATTGAATAACCAATAATTTGATGTGCTGCTTGCACCATAGTCTGTATAGCTTCCAAAAACCTGTCTTTGACTGTGTGTGCCACGACTCACAATCTTTCCTCCGGACCTGTGGTCAAAGGTGACCATATGTAGGATTTTCTGTTCCTTTACAAACGTGCAGTAACGCTTCACCCAACTGGAACCAAAAGGAGGGGGCCCTGGGGACGAGAACACACATTTCATTGTAACACCTCGTCATCAGTTTAACTGCCTCTCATGGACATGCACATTTGCACACACACGTCGTTCCTCTATCCTTACGTTTCTCCTGGACGTAGAGGTATCCTTCGCTGCTGATGGGGCTGGTCTGTCTGTACTCCTGGGGAACCTCCCTTATCCTCTTCATCAGCTCAAACACCTCCACCCGCGTGCCCTCAAACCGACTCCGCGTCTATATGGGGAAGAGAGGGAGTGGCTTGTTACTATCGGGCCAAGCTGCAAAGTTGGAGGTACGGTAACTTCTCTCCAATCTGATTTTAAAACTAACCTCAACCTTGTCTATTCCCCTAATCGTATGCTGAACCCTAACCTTAAATGAAGGTTAATTTAGGTTTTCATCAAGTTTCACAATATAGTACATTTTGACTAAGGGGGAGACACACCCAAGGAAGGAAGTCACCCCTTGTGACCCTGGCTAAATGGTCATGCAGGGGTCAATCACACAATGCAAGCCACTGGAAAAGAAAACCTGCAGAGCTTCCCTTTGGAAAATCCCCCGACATCCCAGAGTGGGTAAAAGTGAATGCTTGGGGTCAATGAAAATAATCAAAACACTAAGACTAACCCAAACACAATTAACAATAGAGTGAGTGAGTGAGTCAAAAATGAAAGCACCTAGGGAAAGTCCCACTAGAAGTAGTCCTTCATTATTTTAAATATTATGGATATTCCGAGCAGACATTCAAATGTATGCGTATGATATGTATAACATATGGGTAACGTGGGGTGTATGTACAGTGTTTGTGATGAGTGTGTAATCTATAGTATTTACAGCAATACTGTGCATACAAGACAAGTACCTCTGGGACCAACACTTTTTTACAATCCTAAAATTGATGGAAATGATCACCTCATTTACATTTTAGTCATTTAGCAGAAGCTTTAATCCAGAGCGATTTACAGGAGCAATTAAGGTGAAGTGCCTTGCTCACGGACACCGACAGATTTGTCACCTAGTCGGCTCGGGGATTCGAACCAGCGACCTTTCAGTTACTGCCCCAATAATCTTAACCTCTAGGCTACCTGCCACCTACCTACCTCATATCACTACATTTACACCACTTTGTTTCATATACTGACATCATTGTACTATGTAGTTAAAACTGGAATCCTTAATGGTGAAAACAGCCATGTCCATTTGGGATATTACAACAACAAAGAAGTTACTGCAAACAAACACTTTTTCCCCTCGGACATCATTGCACGCTCGATAGAACAGCAGAATATGCATTGCAAAAATGTTTTTACCACACTGCTCGAACGCACTTCACCTCCGTTCTGTCCACAGAACAACAATAACAAAAGGTGCTGGGGGCAGACAGTAGCGCCGTTTCCCCTAATGCCGATTCCATCTTTAAATATACATCTAATAAGAAACGGATGAGGACTAGTGTCTCACATTTTGTATATTGATCTGTAAGGCTTTCTTGTAGTGGTTAAAGTCATTGGCCAGCTCATAGCCCTGGTGGTAGAAGGTGAACACTGTCTGAAAGAACGCCAGCATCTGGGGAGAGAAAGAAAACATGGGATACAATGAAGAGTGTATGAATGAATGATCCTTTTAATGCATTATAACCTGGGGCCGTCTACACTTTTGCCAGGAATTTCTCAGGGGTTTACGTGGAATGAAGACAATTTGAAAATCAGTTGACATCAACAAGAATGACATTTTTTTTGAGGGGGGGGGGATTTGGGCAGACACGCACTTTCAGAGCTGGTTTATAAACACACTTAATTTGACAACTAGGGAACCTATATAAACACTAACTATAGTGTACACTACTTTGCTATGTGCACTGTAAGTTAATGAGCACTGTAAATGACAACTGCTGACCAGGCAAGTACTAAAAGTGCACTGGCCAGCGGTTAGTTCACTCACTGGCTCCAAAAGTAATATGATGCAAAACTCGTCATACACATTAAACATTTTGGAGTATAACATATACACTGAGTGTACAAAACATTAAGAACATGACACTGACCAGGTGAGTCCAGCTGAAAGCTATGATCCCTTATTAAATCCACTTCAAATCGGTGTAGATGAAGGGGAAGAGACAGGTTAAATAAGGATTTTTAAGCCCCGAGACATGGATTGTGTATGTGTGACATTCAGAGGGTGAATGGGCAAGACAAAATGTTTAAGTGCCTATGGTAGTAGGTGCCAAGTGCACCGGTTTGTGTCAAGAACTACAACGCTGATGGGTTTTTCATGCTCAACAGTTTCCTGCGTGTATCAAAAATGGTCCCACCACCCAAAGGACACCAGCCAACTTGACACAACCGTGGGGGGTGCAACTCAATATTAGGAAGGTGTCCTTAATGTTCTGTCCACTCAGTGTATAGTGTGTGATTTGTATTTTTTCGAACACTCACTGGCTCCACACAGTCAAACTTCTTCCTCTCCTGGATCTCCTGTAGTTTACACACGTAATCCAGAGACTCCTCCTGAAAGTGCTGTCTCATGGTCTCCACCAGGTTGTCCGCCTGCAGAACAGAGGAGAGAGAGACAGACAGACAGAGAGAGGAGAGAAAGCGAGAGAATGAGTGTCAGCGTTATTATACAGTGCAGTCAGGTCTCTACGGACAGATGGAGCTCACGGCCTAGCTTCAGTTGTACTGGATGCAGACAGAGTCCCAGACAGAGAAAGGACAAGCTATGAGAAATTAGTCCTCTTTTGTTGATAACTTCTGATAAAGAGTTTGAAGGGCTAAGACACTGATGACCTACGTGGTGTATGACAGCCCCAAAAAAGTGACCAATCAACTGGTGAGTTTATCGTTTGGTTGACTGATAAGCTAATTGATTAGGCTACATGGTTTGTTGACTGGATCTTTACATCATCAGTGTTCAATTTGTTATTTACCACTACAGTATTGTGTTCAATATGTTATTGTGTTCAATCTAGTGCATCAGTTTTTTCCCATTAGTGGCTGGTAGATTTTCCATTAGTGCCATAGGTCGGGTCGGTGCCTCGGGGCCGTCACATGACGAGTGTACAGAATGACATCAGATTAGTTGAGGGAGTTCAGATAGTGCCTCGCGGCCACGAGGCTGTGAACCACACAACTATTTATTCTACTCTTCCCTGATAACAATCTCTGTTCCAAACACGGAACCCTGGGGTCTGTTCCACAGTGCATCACAATACAGAATGTTCAGATAGAAATGTAATGCATAGAACTGATATGATTGGCTCTCGGTATCATTTGGAAGTGTCAGCTCTATTCGTTACATTTCTATCCGCAATGTTCAGAAAGTTTCATCTCACCGAATACACTACTGGACTTGCCTCACAAGAGTCCGTGAGGGAAGAACAGAACGGGCCGCTACATAAACAAAGAGGGATAAACAACATGCATACAAAACATGGTGGCTACGCCTTCAATGGTTATGTTCACACAAGGGCAACCTATAGGATACAGAATGCATTGTTAAGTGAGGGGAGTTTTGTTTATATTACATACTAGCTAGATGTCATATATACAGTACCAGACTGCATGTCTCTAAGGTACTATATGGTCAGTTTGGTATATCTTTATACAAAGGATAGCTCCCACAAGCCTTCACAGTGAAATACATATAAACTTTTTCTTGATAACCAAAAGGGTTTATTTTTCCATTACCAACCCCAATATAATCCACACTGGGTCTGTAAAGCTTGATACTGTATCTGCAATCTCAGGATGTCTTGAGGCGCTCAAAAAGCTACTGCCTCAAAGGTACGACCTTGGTGGCTGGTACATAAACACTGAACATGACTTCCCTTTCCGAGCATGCAAGAGAAACTCACTCCGTACTCTAACCTGTGGACACACACCGCTCCACACACTTCAGTACAGTTCAGCGCCACAGCGCTACAGAGAACAGCCAAGAAGACTACGTGTGTATTCCAAATAGCACCCTATTCCCTATATGGCTCTGGTCAAAAGTAGTGCACTATATAGGGAATAGGGTGCAATTTGGGAGGTATCCTATGGGTCAGGATTCAGGAACTTCTCACTAAGCAAATATCATTTCCAGCCATTTTGGGGTTGGGAAGATGTTGGGGCCCGTGTTTTCGGCCTGTTTTCCACTTTCCATAAATATGCACGCGAGAGAGAGAGTAAAAAAAAAAAAAAAAAAAAGTACCTCCTGTAGCTGCGGTTCCTTTTTCTTTGCTGACATGTTCAAAAGCTTTTCCAAGGAGCTGTAGTACTTCTCAGTTTCCTTCTCATACTTCTTCCTTTCCTCCTTAAAAGGGCAGAGTAGAGGAACCGTATGAGAAAGGGCATGGTAAGAGAGAGAGAGATAAGAGAAGTGAGAAGAACAACAAATGTAATTGTAATATTGCATTAGTCTCACTGACCAAAGGAATGTTCGGAGCGTGATATCAAGAGGTACACATTTCAATTCCAATAAAAAAAAAAGGGAGTTGGAACTGTCTGTCTCTAGACAGGTATTTTGATAAAAGACACTGTGTACTACCCTTTTCACATTACCGTGCCGACCCAAAACTTGTCTGGCTCTGATCTTTTCTTTTCACATTCCCCTTTCAAGCATGGTTTCTGCAACTACAGTGGATGCACAACCGGGCCAGTGCAGTACAGCTTGGTTTGGCTCGGTATTGTGAAAAGGGTATTACTTTATAGCAGTGTTCAGAGCACACAGGATTGCGCTTGTATGAGATCATTAACAAGCAGACTGCATAGCAGTGTCAAGCCGTATGATAGAGTACCTTCGCTGAGCCCAGTTGCTCTTTTCTGAACTTCTCCAGCGGTTTCATTAACGTTTCTGTAATGTTCCTCATCTAAGAGACCAAGAGATAATAAAACAGACATGACCATATTAGGACATTCCACAAAAGTGTTTAATTCATTCACAGGTACAGTATTAGGCTGGTCTTACACTCCACTAGGCATTCTCTGTAGAGGCTCCACAACTGTTTTGTGACCTGACCTCACTACCATGCCCGCACGGGGCTCAGCATTGAGATTTCAGTGCATGCCAGAATTTGTAACTTTACGGAAGCATCAGTGACGTATTGCCAAGAGGAAAGCTTGAGTGTAAACCCAGCCTAAGAGGCGGCAGGTAGCCTAGCGGTTAGTGAAACAGGACAAATACAAGCACCCCCCCCCCCCCCCCCCCCCGATTTGACCTTTGACATAACATCACATTCCAATGGAAGGCCAAAGGTCACAATACTTGCAGTGGGTTAATGACAGCATAAAGTCAGTGACAATTGCCTATGTTTTTGTATAACTTCTTGCAAGCATCCACAACACATTCAAGTACACTAGTCCCACCGTCACATGAAAGCTGGAAATCAATGTCTCTGTCCTATTGATCACCCTCCCTGCCATATCTCAATCTCTTCCTTCCTCTCTTTTATAAATGATCCATCTCTCCATCTCTATCTGAATCATATCTCCCTCTCGCTCTCTGCTAAAGGTCCTGTTTCTGGGGGTCATTTCAATGTAGAAGGACCCATGGCCACCAACATGTGAAGTTCATAGGAGCATGTCAAACTGGGTGTCAAATTAAAAGCTAGAAGTCTTTATTTTGTATCAAGGCATATACATTTATCAACCATTTTCCATCCTAAAAATGTGGAATAAGCAAAGGCTTTGATTTCTGGTTCTTAAAAGGTATTAGAAATGCATCAAAACACAATGAATGTTGAAATAAAGACCTCTGCCAACTAATATCAACACTTGTATTTAGTATTGGAGAAAGATTTCTGTCTTCTGGAAGTTTAAGAAACATTGCCTTGTGACTTGAAATTCCGTTACCAAAAACTCACATATCTTTAAGATATTTTCTAATTTCTCTCCCTCATGAGGGAGGATAATTAAAGTTCACAAAAGTCATAAGTAAATGTAGACCTACCAATGAATTAATATAAATTGTTTATGAATTATGAAGTGATTAAAACTAGAAATTCCATTACCAAATCGGTAACAGAGTTTCTGCAATTGAATTGGCTAAAATGGGAAATCATAGTAGTCACAAATCAGAGTTGGGTTCACAAGTTTGGACAGCACAGTTGAGTTCAGTACAGTACACAGTAGAGAACACTAGAGCTGAGTACACTATAATGTACACTACTCTACTTACAGAACTCTACTGTAGTATACTGAGTGTACAAAACACGTTCCTAATATTGAGTTTCACCCCTTTTGCCCTCAGAACAGCCTCAATTTGTCGGGGCATGGACTCTACAAGGTGTCAAAAGCGTTCCGTAGGGATGCTGGTCCATGTTGACTCCAATGTTTCTTGCAGTTGTTTCAAGTTGGTTGGATGTCCTTTGGATGGTGGACCATTCTTGATACAAAAAAGAAACTGTTGATTGGTTCGGACCACCCAAATTTGGTCTTGTTTGGGGGCAGAGCTCATTAAAGGTAGGCTATGTAGAAAAATACCCAAATGAGAATATTCCATATTTCTACCTTTGTGTACCTAATTAGGATACATCCCCATGAAGAGAATGGCATTCATATCCATAATGATGCATTTCTGTGTAGCACAGATCAGGGACCTATGATGACATTCCGTTACCGCAATTCCACTAGTGTAAATCCACTTCACTTACTGTAGTTCAATAACCAAAATAGATATTTTCAAAGTAATTTTTCTCCCCAATTTCGTGATATCCAATTTGTAGTTACAGTCTCGTCCCATCGCTGCAACCCCCGTACGGACTCGGGAAAGGCGAAGGTCAAGAGCAATACGTCCTCCGAAACACGACCCTGCCAAGCCGCACTGCTTCTTGACACACTGCGCTCTTAACCCGGAAGCCAGCCACACCAATGTGTCGGCGGAAACACCGTCCAACTGGCGACCGAAGTCAGCTTGCATGCGCCCGGCTCCCCACAAGGAGTCGCTAGAGCGCGATGGGACCCTCCCCTAACCCGGACGACGCTGGGCCAATTGTGCGCCGCCTCATGGGTCTCCCGGTCGCGGCCGGCTGTGACACAGCCCGGGATCGATGCAGTGCCTTAGACTGCTGCGCCACTCGGGAGGCCATTTTTTCAAAGTCAATGTGTCATGTCATAGCTGACACCCCATTATTTTGGCTAACATAATTGAATCTTAATTTGGAGCAGATATTTAAGAGTTTTTGGAAAACGTGGACCCAAAGAACTGACAGAGATTTGACCAAACTTTGCATCTGCACAGTTCTTCCAGTAAATGTGTTTTTGTAAAATGTTCAGTGTCGATTGTTAAAAGTAGTCGTATGGTTTGTTAAACTTTGAAATCACGTTTGGTATACATTTTAAGTGAAAAATCTTAGTCTCAGCGCAATTCCGTTACCGTGGAATTGCCCTGGGTTGATTCCAGGGGATGTCAGTGTCTGCCTGCCCACCCCACAGTCCTCTGCTGTGGGCTGTGATGTCATCCCATACTGCAGTGCGTTGCTGGAGCTGAACCAGGCCCTGGTAGAGACGTTTACATGGCAACGATAGACCCTATCTATAGCGCAAACACACATAACATGTATTGTAAACATTCAGAACATACACTATTCTGAATGCAAGGGGTCAGGGAAGTAAAACAATAGAATGGAAGTGTGTTTAATGCCATATATATATTTAACCTTTATTTAACTAGGCAAGTCAGTTAAGAACAAATTCTTATTTACAATGACGGCCTACACCGGCCAAACCCGGACGACACTGGGCCAATTGTGCGCCGCACTATGGGACTCCCAATCACAGCTGGTTGTGATACAGCCTGGAATCGAACCAGGGGGTCTGTAGTGACGCCTCAAGCACTGAGAAGCAGTGCCTTAGACCGCTGCGCCACTCGGGAGTCCATCTGTAGATAGCTACCATATCTTAAGGGTCGCACACATTGCACCGAAGGTGGATCTCCCATTCGTCTACTGATCGTTCAGGGCGCTGTTGTGCGACTCTACATGTAAAGTCGGTTTGCACTCGGATCGCAAGTACTCACGGCAGGCAAACCCTATTGGTGTGTTCGAGTCCTTAGAACTCCCAGAACAAGCCATAGGCTGCATTACAGGAGAATAGAAATAACACTACATTATCTGTGTTGAATGAGTCACAAAGAGATCACAAGACATAGCCTAGCCCTTGATTAAAACCTCGACTCAGCAACACCTACAGTAAATAAAGGTATGGAGGAATAGGGACAATAGAGCCAGGAGCCTGGAGAGAGATTCTTCTGTGAAACGGAGACGCCCATCTGCTGACACACAGAACGCTGCTCTGAAGACGGACAAACAACGTGACTCAACACGAGAGGCTGGGTTGATTGCGTAACTCCAGGGTTACCCCAGACTGCATCCCAAATGGCACCCTATTCCTTATGTAGTGCACTACTTTTGACCAGAGCCCAGATAGGGAATAGGGTGTCATTTAGGACACACACCAAGTATTTTCTGCATGGGTAGAAAACCCTAACAGGCTACATTTACAACATTCAGTTCAGGTGTAACTTTCCTCTATATTCTATAGCATTTGTAACTTAAACATCTGCAGTTTAAGACAGCAGTAAGCAGGTGTGTGTCACAGTAGTGTACTAGTATAGCACTACACATTGCAGTGAGTGTTGAATGACCCCATTGACTCTGGTATGCCATGTCTTCTGAGGTTGTGTTTAATGGAGCAGATCCACTCCTCTGTCCCACCGCCTGCAGAGGAGAGGTGGGGACAGGACAGGACAGACAGTGACCCTTGGACAGGTGCAGTGAAGGTGGCCTCTCCTCTGGGTCATGTTCATTAGGCACCAATCAAAAGAAAACAAGGAGGGACTACCCAGACTTCTAATAAGAAACAAATTGTTGTTTTCTTTTCCAATACATTTTACTACGGTGTGCCGTAATGAACATGACCCTGGTGTTACAACACAGAGGCATTACTCAACCCTCCACCCACTGAGGAACTGTAATTTACTCACACACAGAGCACACATTCGTTACACACACGCAAACAGACAGACAGAGGTATTTCCCCTGGCTTTTAAAGCAGGTCTCGACTGGTTACTGCTTACCATCAGCTCTCTTTGGTCTTCCAGGTTCTTAAGGAAGTTGGAAAACTCCTGCAAGGATTCATCTGCAAGACACAGAGAAACACACACACTTTAATAATGGAACACTAGTCACTTTAATAATGTTTACATACTGCTTTACTTATCTCATATGTATATACTGTATTCTATTCTACTGTATTTAGTCAATGCCACTCCGACATTGCTCGTCCTAATATTGATATATTTCTTAATTTCATTACTTTACTTTTAGATTTGTGTATTGTTGTGAATTGTTAAGATACTACTGCACTGTTGGAGCTAGGAACACAAGCATTTCGCTACACCCACAATAACATCTGCTAAATATGTGTGTGACCAATAAAATATGATTTGAAACACACACCAAACAGGAGACGAGACAAGAGACAGGACACACCAACACACATAAACATAAGACCACACACAGAGAAAGAGAGAGAGACATAAGTACTGGTGTTTCCATCTCTCTAAAGAAGCCAAGGGTTTGGGAAATTACACATGCAAGCACTTTAATTTGGTGGTAGACACAGAACCAAAAACAGACGTTTTCAGTCTGTGGTTCCGCTGGCAGAACCAGCCAGCTGTAGGTCGTAACAGCACCACACTCACCAATACACCTCTCATCGTCCGTTTTTGCATCTCCGATGTACTCAAACTGGAACTCTCCCAGGGAATGGGCAAACTTGCGCTGGGCCAACGCAAGCTCTGAAAACAAAAATGTAATAATTTAAAAAACAATCCTATGGATAGATGTGATTTCGGATGCGACCTTCCCTTGACGACCATATTTCGGCATCAGATCCACTGCGGTCACATGTGCTTCCTATTTACAGGCTTGTATCAAAACGTTTATTTTTATTTTTTTATTAGTGGATGTACTAGCTTGATAGATATTCAATCACATTTGAATTGGACCATAGCACAAATAACTCAAGAATAATAAATAATATAAATAATTGGTCATTTAGCAGACGCTCTTATCCAGAGCGACTTACAGGAGCAATTAGGGTTAAGTGCCTTGCTCAAGGGCACATCGACAGATTTTTCACCTAGTCGGCTCGGGGATTAGAACCAGCGACCTTTCGGTTCCTGGCACAACGCTCTTAACCACTAAGCTACCTGCCGCCAAAGACTGAAAGAAAAAACAGAACAGTCATTTAATCAAGGCCTGGCTGACATGCAGGTTATATCTTAAAATACATAGGGACCTAGCCTAGTGGTTAACCCCATCTGCAAACTTCCTGTTGCCTCTGCTGCCAGCAGACTGTAGCATCCTGTCCCTGTATAGGTTATAAAGCACCACTCTATTCACAGGAGGGAAGAGACAATGCCTATTGGTCCATTGATGGTGGCAGGTGTTTACATTTTAGCAATACATTAAACATATGACCCCATAGAAATTAGCCTATATAGGCCTAGTTTATCTATGGGGGTATTGGCACAAGGGTTAATAATGTGGCAACTTTGAGTTAAAAAGGATTTTCAAACATATATTGGCCTACATAGGCTAACATTTGCCCTTGACCTGCTTGTGTGAGAAAACAGTCATAACAACCAATGTATTTCTATAATAGTTTAGGCTATGCGCTGGCCTAACCATGTTGTGAGGAGGAGAAGAGAGGCCCAACAGGCTAAACAACAGTCGGGTGTAGCCTAGCCTGGAACCCAAACGTCGCACCATAGTGAACTTCACGCCGTTTGTTTTCCAGGCTGGGATGCAAGCTGAGCCCTCTCAGTTCTAAACAGTGTACACAGATATTCCCAGCGGTGTGGATCTCAGGCTGATGACAGTCCCACAAGGACAGCATGGGAGAATGTAACAGGGTATTTTTAAGACTGGAGTTATGACTGGTATCCAGAGGAGCAGTACCATTAGCTTTGGCAGCTGGATGGGCCTCTATGAGGAGGATCAGCTGGGAGTTTTGAATACAGAGGCTCTCAGATTCTCACTGACTGGGCTTGTTGACAATGGAGGTAGGAAGCCTGTGTTTTTATTGTGACAGTTATATTACCAGCAGGTTAGCGTTTTTCGTCATGAATCTTGTTCTGGAGGCAGCTCTGCAGAGTGGTCACTAGCTAGCACAGCCACAAAGTCCTAAAATCTGATTTTAACCCTAGACCTAACCACACTGCTAACCCTAACCTTAAATTTAGACCAAAAAACAAAATGTTTGTTTACATGATTTTTTAAATTGTTATTTATTTATGCAACTCCCGAATGGGCTCGGGAGAGGCGAAGGTCGAATCATGCGTCCTCCGAAACATGACTCGCCAAGCCGCGCTGCTTCTTAACACACTGCTCGCTTAACCCGGAAGCCAGCCGCACCAATGTAATTGACGAAACACCGTTCAATTGACGACCGAAGTCCGCTTGCAGGCGCCCGGCCGTCCACAAGGAGTCGCTAAAGCGCGATGAGCCAAGGAAAGCCCCCCGGCCAAACCCTCCCCTAACCGGGACGACGCTAGGCCAATTGTACGACGCTAGGCCAATTGTGCGCCGCCCTATGAGAATTTCATAGAATTGCCACATTAAAAAGTCGCAGCCTATCCTCCTCATTTCAACAGTCTGCTCCCCTGGCTTTCTCTAATATTTATTTTTTTACAAATGTGGGCCATGTCAACCAATTCCTCTACAGCATTACCCCTGGCATCTCGCCCCTAAAAAAAAAAAAAGTGTGTGCGTGTGTGGATTATAACGACGAGGCCCAAAGCTTAATCATGTGAGCTCTGCACAATGCCTGGCATAAAGTGCCTAGCCCTAACCTCTGCCTGACTGATCCCAAGCCTGTGTTTGTTTCATCAATCAATAGGCAAGTAAACTCCCCAAACTGATCTCTGATATGTGAGGACCTTAGACACAACAAGGAAATGTAGGCTGGCAAATCCACTGTATGATTGGGCTTGTTTGACATTACTGCCGACTGACTGATCTACAAATCACCTTGCATCATAACTAACTAGCCTACTCATTATTATTTGTAGATCAGTCAGGCATTCACAATATACCCACAATGCGTCGTGATTTGATACTCTTGAACACGGCCACTGATACATTCTGAAACCCAACTACTCAGTTTTGACTCATGTGTAAATCAATTTTTACACCTTTCCACACATTTGGAAACAATTTTTACGTAGTGCTAAGACCTTGGTAAGTTTGTTGTCCAAGTTAAAGGAAACACTGTTGCATTCTGCTCTCTGTAGCAGCCGGAGCATAGTTTACGAGTGCTTGCTCTTTGAGTTAGGCCTGCTTCAAAAAGCACCTGCAGGAAGATGGCATCTTTCCTTTTTTTAACTGGTGAGGTTAATGTAATGTAATGTAATGGTCGTTCTTAGATATGAAAGTATTGAAGTTCAGCAGTGATGACGGCGCATGGAAATATGCAGAAAGTAAAGTACAAGCCAACGCACTCCTGAGCTGTTATCAAACCATGACAGATTAGCAATAAGATAGGGGTCTTAAACAATCCTGCCCAGGGACCCCATCCAGGCAAACCAGCGACCTCCATCATACATTAGCAAATAAAAAAAATTAAATAACGTCTTATCAATATCATCAGGTGAATGATAATGGCAAGGAGATTTTAAAGTGAATAGATTTAGTAGATGGTTTTTCATTATTTTGACCTCCCTACATTATAATTAGAGGAGTAAACTAACATAGCCTATTAGCTAGAAGGGTAACTCCAAATACATTTTCGCTAAGAGCACCTGTTTAAACAAACGTTAGCCATGTGTTGGCAAAAATGTATGTCCAATTCAAGAAAGCTTACCAGCAGCCAGTGGCACTTGCCTCACTGGTAGCCTATTTGCGGGTGCTTTTTCAAAGCCTATATCAGATACTCCAGCGAGTGTAATTGGCTCCAAATGAGTGTAATTTGCTCAATATTAGGCGTAATAAAGTTGACATCATTAGAAAGACGTTATTCTCCTCTTTTGTACCGCAGGTATATAATAAAATAAAATATATATTCTGTTGTTGCTAGCGATATTCATAAAGATATTGAAATAATAAAATAAAAACATTTCCACTTATATTAGCAGATCCCCTGCAGTACCCCCAGTTGAATAGGGACGTGCAACTATAGTTTTCCTTCACAGAACATACATTAGTGAAACACATTTGGCAGAAAATAGCTTCATTTTCATCAGATGACAGATGTGCAATGCTATTTGGCTGGCAGCCACAAGTAAATGAGCTTACAATGAAAAAGCAAGGTATTTTTTTAGCTTAAACTATGCATGGCCATCATATTTCTAATGTTTATCATAGAAAGAATGTAGCCAGCTATGTTTTGCTTAAAGTTAATCTTTAAATTTACCGGAGAAAAGTAGGCTGGCTACATCCAGAAAAGTACCAGAGAAAAGTAGTTCCACATCAGTCAGAGAAGTCTGCTGATAGATGAGAATTCACAAACAGGCATTCTGAGTGGAAAGTACAACTGAAGTATGAAATGAGTCCTTGAACACATGTACTTGAACTGGTGCAGATGCAAAACTTGGTAACAGAATTACAGTTTGTGCCGTCATTCTGTTATCAAACTTTGCATCTGCACTGTTCAAGTAAATGTGTTTTTGGAGTTTCAGTGGAAATTGATAAAAGTAATCCTTGTGCATAGAGTTGTATGGTTTGTTTAACTTCGCAAAATCACTGGTTTTTATTTGACATACATTTGAAAGTGAAAAATCTCAGTCTCTGAAAAAAAAAAAAAAAATTATATATATATATATATCAGCGTCACAGTTACTGTGGAATTGCCCATGTCAGATACCTCACCTAGACTGACCTAATTCAAAAGCTTAGAGACGTCTCAAATTTGACCCAATCCATGCCTTGCTTTGACAACAGACACTTGAGTAGAGAGAAACATAATGGTGCTTTATGAGTAGGTCTAATCATCCCTAGACACTAGCCTGCTATGCCAAAGGCCCTCTAATTCCCTTCGTGATGGTGTTCATTCAAGTGTTTTACCTTTTAACCACTGAAGTGGGGTCAGGAGGAATATGACAGACAGAGGCAGTATTTTGGGATGTCTCCGTGGTTTATGGAGTAACAAGAGTCACAGCTCCTCTTGGAGTGGGTGACTACAACTAGGCTACATTACACAGGGGGAGAGGAGACGACCTCTCACACATTATTGCATGTGAGCCGCAGCAGCGTGCTTCCTTCCTCAGACGGGCTGACTGACTGGTACAAGGCTCAACAAGAGCTCTGACCACAGCTTTTTGCAGCCTTGTGCCTAACTGCTATAAAACACACCAGGGCACAGGTTTATCATCTGTTGCAGACAAAACCCACCAACCAAGAAAGACACTTGAAGTAGTCTAACACTTTGAGAGGCTCAAATCTCGAAAAAGTTAAGATTCGTTAAGACTAAATAACAATTGGCTGCTGAACCTGTACCCCATAAAGCAAAGGATTGGGCATTACTGCAGTAATGTCAAAGCTCTTCATGTTCCCCCCTATCATGTCAGTTGTTGTTGAGATCTGGAGGCTCCTTGTATGTCTCCTTTCCACAGTGAACATCACCTTCTAGACAGACTAACGATTGTTTCCCCTAAGGAGTTGATCATCCAGTAGAGTGGTAGTTCCAGTGATGTAAATATGAACTGTGGTAGTAAAGTATGGGTTAGTAGCCTCCAAGCAGTGTTGTCAAAACAGAGGTATGGCCAACACGTCAGCCAGGTCATTATTTTGGAAGCAAACATCCGCTGTCCAACATAGAAATTCGCTTTGTATCGACCGTGGAACTCCGGAGTGAGTCCAAACCACTTGGAGAGGGATCCAGACCTCTGAATCTGGCCAGTCCTTCCCTCTCTCAGACTCTCATTGAGCCAAATTACCACCTAGAAAATCAGGTTTCCCACTGATTAGTTTGACCAGCTTTCATCCTCAGTCACTCCCAGCTCCCACCGAGGGCATTCCATCCAGACAGCCTAACTAACCTGTTGCTAGATCAGAGTCTGCCAGTACCACAGCGGGCATCAGCGCTGTGTCTGTCTGTAGTGCAGGCTGATCCAGTGTTTGTCTCAGCCCCAGGGATATATGAAGAGATATTCTACTTAACAGAGCCACAGTGTCTTGTTACCTTTTGACATATGCAATAGAAACCTCATTAACATGGTATTGCTACAGTATTTCCCCGTTGTGTTGTTAGCTACTATTATGGTGCTTCTCCAGGTACTTTAGCTCCGGTTGGCTAGCTCAACTGGCTTAGGCTAAATGTCAATGCCATGGTGATGCAGTTTTAAGGTGTGCTTCATTTGTGCAACCTGAAGCAAATCAAACACTACGACACCCTATGTGTAGCCTACTATCTGTATGTGGCAACTCTTACCAGATAATAAGCCTATCTCCAACTAATCTTGAGGTTTCACTCTATAGTGTAAAAACAACTACTATGCATTCTGGATACAGTTGAACTGAATGAACCCCTCCTCCCCAACACGTTTAACTAACGCAGGAAAACACGTTTTGACAACATGCCACGATACCCTGAGGAAGTGTCTCTACAGCCTACACCGTATACTGTATCTGTAGTGAAGTCGGGGCGCCATTTTGTTACAGCAGCGTCACATCAGCAGAGAGAAATCACTTAAAGGCCAGATTCAGAGTTGAGATTAGAGCACAGAACAGACTAAATTCCTTTATGTCATTATAGGCTATAGGATAATGCGGTATGACATCCCAGACAAGCACACGCTTTCCCATGAAAGCATTCCTTTAAAAGGTCCAAAGGACACCCGTAAAATAAATGATGCATTCTTTAACGACAGATAAGAGAGGAGTGCCTTGAAGTACTCAGCTGAGTGAAGGAAGACACTCTGTGGAGGGAGCTAGACATGAGTCAAGTGGGCAACACTGAACGCTAGATATGATATCGATCTCAAGTTATACTATCATGACATAAAGTATATTAGGAAACAAAGGAAGGGCGTAGTGTTCTCATCGACGGGGCTGTAGTGGAACAGGTTGAGAGCTTCAAGTTCCTTGGTGTCCACATCACCAACGAACTATCATGGTCCAAACACACGAAGACAGTCGTGAAGAGGGCACGACAAAGCCTATTCCCCCTCAGGAGACAAAAAAGATTTGGCATGGGTCCTCAGATCCTCAAAAAATTCTACAGCTGCACCATCGAGAGCATCCTGACTGGTTGCATCACCGCCTGGTATGGCAACTGCTTGGCCTCCGACCGCAAGGCACTACAGAGGGTAGTGCGTACGGCCCAGTACATCACTGGGGCAAAGCTTCCTGCCATCCAGGACCTCTATACCAGGCGGTGTCAGAGGAAGGCCCTCAAAATTGTCAAAGACTCCAGCCACCCTAGTCATAGACTGTTCTCTCTGCTACCGCACGGCAAGCGGTACCGGAGTGCCAAGTCTAGGTCCAAAAGACTTCTCAACAGCTTCTACCCCCAAGCCATAAGACTCCTGAACAGCTAATCATGGCTACCCGGACTATTTGCACTGCCCCCCCACCCCATCCTTTTTACGCTGCTGCTACTCTGTTAAGTATTTATGCATAGTCACTTTAACTCTACCCACATGTACATATTACCTCAACTACCTCAACTAGCCGGTGCCCCCGCACATTGACTCTGCAACGGTACCCCCCTGTATATATAGCCTCCCTACTGTCACTTTATTTTACTTCTGCTCTTTTTTTTTCCTCAACACTTTTTGTTGTTGTTGTTGTTGTTTTATTTTTACTTTTTTTGTTTAAAATAAATGCACTGTTGGTTAAGGGCTGTAAGTAAGCATATCACTGTAATGTCTGCACCTGTTGTATTCGGCGCATGTGACCAATACAATTTGATTTGATTTGATTTGTGGATGGATGCACTGTAGATAACCCTGTGCTTAAATGGCAACTTGGTCATCCTTCTGGTTTCTCACACTTCTCTTTCAGGCCTGTTCCTTTCCATTCCATGTGGACTGTTCCATGAAAGTCCTGTTTCCTCTCCTCTCTTTCTCTGATGAAGGCGGAGGGTTCAAGGTCACAGTACAAAGTAAGAGAATGCACATGGGATGGTGATGTCATCGGAATTCAACAGTTCAGTTGACATTGGCTTGATTAGCCTCATGTGTGGTGTGTGTCCTCACCTTGAGTTCCTCCCATTGATTCCTACTCTGGTTACAGCTACAGTGGTGTAACTGACTGACTACATCCTTCCCTCTGTCCATATTCCTCTCTTTCCCTCCCAGAGGGGTGGGTACTAGCTGAGATAGGACGGTACGAGCCTCTGTGAAGAAAGCAGCTAGCTCAACCATTACATAACACCCTTCACCCTAGCATTCTTACATCATTTGTAATCCTCGAAAGGGGGGAAAAAAACTAAATCTGGCAACCGCATATGTTAGGTCGTATCACGGCTGTATAACTACAAGACAATTGCACAGAGCAGCAGCAGGCACACATCAATGAGATATCATCAGCGGAGCAACAACAAATGTGACAGGCGAGAGGTCTGCATTTATTCGATCCCAGAGATAACGGATATCCTACTGTGAGAGAACAAATACCAAAAACACCCGAACTTCCACCAAAAGCCCAAGGCAAAGACATCCTGTTCCTGGTCCTAGCCATGCTGCCTTTTAAAGCAAGGCATTTCAGTTCAAACCTGGGAACTGTTGACTTTTAGCCCCACCACTTGTCTGTGTAAAAACCAGAGACCCCGCTTGGCTGTGTGAGTCATGATGCCACGACCTTACGTTCATCTGTTATAGCAAGCCAAGTTTCCTCTAACAGGAAAAACGTGTGAAAAGGGGCCAAGCGAGAGATGTGACAAACACTTGTTGCCCTGTGTGTGTGTGTGTGTGTGCCTATTAAGCCGGGGGGGGGGGGGGGGGGGGGGTACTCTTTAAAGGCTGTGCTATTCAAATCTAGGTGTAGTTGTCAAGAGAGCACAGAAGTGGCCCTACACTAGATGAGGACTAGACCAGACTACACAATGGAAGAAATAATCTACAGTAGAGCCTCTTTAAACCTAAGTGCTGTAGAATATGCCAACAAAGTGCTATGACTGCATGATTGTGTTCACACTTAGCTAGAGCTGGGCTTTATACCGTATTTAACCATATACCGGTACTGATGCACGGACCAGATTGGGTTTTTTACTTAACCTTCTATAACTGTATTTGAATGTTAAGTCTGTTAAATGTGATACGCCGTGTGTAAAGTCCAGTTCTATAGTTGACTTTGCTACTTCAGTCATCCCTTTCCACGCTCTATGCCAGTTACCACACAGACCTAGCCCCGCCCTAACCAACATTTGGTTAAAAATAAGGCCTTGATTGTTTGCCCATATCGTGCAGCCCTACTTGGCAGTGTGGAAATGATCTCAAATGAGTGCAGGAAATCCAGAAATGTATAAAAATGCTGAAAAGTATTTTTGGTTGAAGTTGAATTGAACAGTATAAAACAATCAGAATGGAGAAAGACCCATTGAAATCACTTAGAATGTATGTGTTGACACCCTAGGGTCACGCACTAATCATAACGCAAATTTAGAACTTTGATTATTCAAAAAGATCAAATACCGTCCACATGTTTTTTAATACCGTGATATGATATTTGGGCCATATCGCCCAGCCCCACACTTAGCCTCACTTAGACATTCATCAGCATAATCCCACTGCTTATTCATGCTTAATTCAACCTCACCCTGCAGCGTACTGCAACCTGTTACACGTTTGTGCTGGACCTTCAGTACCACACTATTGTACAGCAGCGGAAATACAACCGCCAAGCTAGTTCAAGTCCGGACAAAAACACCCGAAAAGTCCCATAGTGAATTCAATGAAGCCATGACAAGCACCAAGCTAGTAGGACTAATGCGTGTTTTGACGCATCCTTTATAAAGTTTCCTGGACTGCCAATGTGACACACTCCATGGCACAGCTGTTCTGAGGGAGGACTGACTGGGGAGGGTGGTTGTGAAGCTGAAAAACAGCTTGAAGTGTTGAAGTGACCTCACCTCAGACTGTAGCAGGGCGGGTGAATCATTAATACATTTGCCTCACAGACACAGTAGATGTATTCATGATATTTTTCTCAGCAAAGCTGAATTCCCTGAGATGGTATTCCCAAGTAGGCTAGGTTTTGGATCTGTAATGGTTGGCCCACTGTGTAGCTGCAGCCTAATCAAAACTACTGTACTTTCTAAACTCTACCAACTGAAAAATAACTCTCCACTAATCTAGTCCTTGTAGTAGGCACAGTAAAGCCTAACCCCTTTACCCTTATGGGTAGAAAGTATCAAACAACAATAGCAACTAGAACAGCCAACACATTAATCTTACTCCATCGATCCATACAAATTTGGATCAGAAGTTTTTCTGTCGAAGATTCATTGACATTTAGTTGTATATTTTCAACAAAGTCCACGCTGTGTTCATTGTGAGCACGGTGTTTGTTATGATTACTACAGAGGGGTATACTACAAAGCAGGATCAAGGAGTTAGCCAGCTTATCTGATGTGCCACTTGGGTCAGCCTTCATCAACAGGAAGAGCGAGAGAGCTGCTGGGCCCAGGGCCTCACTAGAGCCAATGGACTGTGTTTACACGGCCATGCCTTTCCCCAATCCTTCCTGTTCCACTCGCCCATCTTTCCAGTCAGAATCCACGCTCCGCTCTGCTCCGTTCCACTCACAGGCCCCACCATTTCCCTCTCTGGAGGCCTCCCTCGTTCCCCTCTCTCTAGTTTGTTCAGAGTTGAGTTTTTTTCTTTTTCTTACCCTGTCAATCTTTCATGGTATTACTCTTCATGACAACAGCAGCATTACCTCATTTCTACCCTTAGGGTTCTTGAACGTCAAAACATGTCTAAAAAAAAGGTCAGCAGTGAGTTATTTCTCCCCCAAAATTCCAGGATCTCCTTGGAGTTACTTTTATCTCCCAGCCCCTGTACTTCCAATAATAGACAACTACGACAGGTTCTTAATCTGTGAGAACGCCAGCTTTCACTCTGACTGGTCAAATTAGTCGCATAGGCCGAGTGAGATATCCCTGTCCTTGTGGTCACATTTCTAGACCTCAGCATAGGGAGTAGCTTCAGGCGGATATGGCCCGTCTGGTTACACCTTGAAGGTAACCTTCATTGACTCAGGCATTTGAAACAATGGTTTTAAATCAGTTCATAAAGTTACAGGTGTTCAGAGCCACCCAAGGGAAGGAGGGTGGAGCCCCCAGCAAACTGAAACACCTGCACCATAAAAACGGACTCCTTAGCATCAAACCCAGGTAATATATGCTGGTATCAGTTTCATAGGAGAACCTCCTGTTGATTCCAACAGAGTGAGATGGATGGAAAAAGTTCCTCCTGCATGACCTCACGTCTGTGCTAATGCGATTTTAATGAAAGATTGTGATGTGGCTCTTTGGCAGAATCAGTAATATGATTATAGGGGAGCGAGCCTGGGCAGCACGCCAGACCGAATCATGGCCATACACTCGCTCTGGCCTGCCTGCCAACACATAGCAAAAGCTGCAAAACCTCCTGGCGTGTTTCTTTTTACAGGGAAAATGATGTGGGGAAGGAAAAGACAAAACATCTTAATTTGTGAGTGGACATCAGTTGACCAGAGGAAGTCCAGCTATTGCCATGGTGGACTGAACATTACCCGCCCGTCACGTCAGCACAAACTGATTGCCTGGTTTTGTTTCACACGACAGCTTGAGACTTCCTTTCTCAATGGCCTCATCTAATAAAAGCAGTGAGGAATATGAGGTAGGGCTGGGTGAGATGGCTTAAAAATCATATCTTGATATTTTAAAACTAATGGGGGAGTCACGATATACACTGAGTGTACAAAACATTAGGAACACCTTCCTCAATTCGTCGGGGCATGGACTCTACAAGGCGTCGAAAGCGTTCCACATGGATGCTGGCCCATGTTGACTCCAATGCTTCCCACAGTTGTGCCAAGTTGGCCGGATGTCCTTTGGGTGGTGGACCATTCTTGACACAAACAGCAAACTGTTGAGCATGAAAAACCCAGTAGCGTTGCAGTTCTTGACACACTCAAACCGGTGAGCCTGGCACCTACTACCATACCCCGTTCAAAGGCAGTTAAATATCTTGTCTTGCCCGTTCACCCTCTGAATGGCACATATACACAATCCATGTCGCAATTGTCTCAAGGCTTATTTAACCTGTCTCCTCCCCTTCATCTACACTGATTGAAGTGGATTTAACAATTGACATCAATAAGGGATCATAGCTTTCACCTGAATTCACCTGATCAGTCTATATCATGGAAAGAGAAGTGTATATCTTGTTTTTTTCAAAGTTATGGGCGATTCACAATATATATCTGAATTCTCTCTAAATACGCTTTGTTGCACAATTAATGATCAATTCACTGCATTTCAAACAGTGGGGAATAATCTAATGAATTTAGTGCTTGTTAAAATTATACCTAGGCTAAATATAAGCCTTCAACAGTAAGACCCACTAATTTAATTACTTTATCAAAATAGTTTAGTGTTTTTTTTGCAACAATAACTGATCTGGCTTTGAAGTCTATGAAAATGCCCTTTTTGTTGCAAATTTTACCAGAACAATGCACAACAACCAATAATGACCAACTTCTGGTAGTAGGCATTATAGAAAATGAACACAGGTCTCATAAACACTCTCTCAAGCATAAGCCCACCTGCTAGTGCAGGGGTAGGCAACCCTGTTGCCGGAGTGCCGCAGGTACTGCCGGATTTTGTTCCAACTAGGCACCACACCTGACCAACTGAGCTAATTGATCAGTAATTGCCTAAATTCAACACACCTGGTCTTCCAGGTTTGTTAAATCAAAAACATGAAGCGTCTGCGGCACTGCATGACCAGGGTTGCCTACCCCTGTGCTAGTGAGCAGCCAGTTAAACTTTATATTTAAAGTCTAGCCAACTTGGATCTATTCGCTTGCTAACAAGGTAGAACAGTTGAACTGTTATGAATACACCCTCCTGTCTGTCTCCAACTGTTTGAACAACATAGGCTGTTCACTTTGTTTAGATCAAGTGGCCTAACCGAATAAGAAGACGCTTGTTTCTCTGAATGAGAACGAGTTGCCAATGCCTTATATGTGTCTTTTTATGCTCATTGCACATTTATAAAACACAGACTAGACAGTTAACACATAAGTCTGTCTAAAATGCTGCTAGCGGTACCACAATGTTGCGTGCGACAAACTGAGCATTATTTTCCACAATCATGTTCATTGACACTCCCGTTTTAGTAGTTCCTACTCTGTTCTACATTTTAGGAGTTGAGACATAAAAAGGGCATATTAAAGGTTAAGTTCTCCTCTATTACAGTAAAATTACATCTTGATAGGTTTCGGTTTCCATATGACCGAATATGTTGGACCAAATCTCAAATGCAAATAGAGAGTTGAAACTGCTTGTTGTCAGAGAGGAAGAAGATGCTCTTTCGTCGTTGTTGTTGTGAGTGGCAGGGGAGGGGCATGGTGTCTGTGTGCGAGTGGGAAGGTGCATAGTTCTCACAGCACTGAAGGAGCGAAGGACACGAGACCAAAAAGACAAATCCACATAAAAATGAAAACAAATAAAAACCTTGATTCTTGCCATACAGGCATTTGGAACATTGCGCTAAAACATTAATTCAAATTAATTCGATATATCGCCCAGACCTAATATGAGATACCATTATCAGAAATCAAGACTGAGTTTTAGTGGGTAATATTTCTCACAAGACAAAGCTCCCATGGAGATTTCAGGATGTTCCTTGAAAAGCAGACATATTTCTCAATGATGACCAATGAGAGAAACTAACCCTTAACATAATATATAGATTTTCTATTGTGTTATTGATTGTATGTTTTGTTTACCAAATGTGTAACTGTGTTGTTGTTGTTGTTTTTACCGCACTGCTTTGCTTTATCTTGGCCAGGTCGCAGTTGTAAATGAGAACTTGTTCTCAACTGGCTTACCTGGTTAAATAAAAAAATCTAATTGAAGGGTTAAAAAAAAAGTGACTGACATGTAGAGTTGAGTTGGGTAACAGGGGGTACAGAGCGGGTAAAGTTCCTATGGAGGAAACCACTTGAAAACAGGAGCACATCCCCTGGCCTGTTCCTCCTCTAGTGGGTACTTCCATGTCACAGGCTAGCTCCCTGGCTAAAGGCCCTGTTTGCACGTTTCCTTCCAAATAAATCAAGGACTTTCCAGTGCGGGACATCCTTTCAGGAGTAGGACTGGGAGGAGTGGAGGGGGAGTGGCCCAGGGCCAAAGCTGGACAAGAGTAACTTGGGATTTTGGAACTTGAGCAAGACCCAGGGAATTCCACTTGAAGATCCTACAGCAGTGACTGGCCTAAGAGAGAGCTCAACATTCCTCCTACCTAGTCCCTACCTTATTCAAACTTCAGCCTTCATCTAGCCTGGTTTCAGATCTGTTTCATCTTGTTCTTGATATCGTGTCTAGTTTTGAAGTGTTGACAGATTTCATGTCAATGCTAATATGGCAAAAAATGTGCTAGCTAGCTAACCAACAACTGTAATTATATATTTGAGAGAAAACAAGTGCTCATTGTGCAAATGTATGTTTTCAATAAACATTGGAGACTAAATATAGTTTACATGTCAACAATCTAAGCTAACACCGTCTGTTTTGCCCCATAGTTGAGCACCCGTCGATTTTGTTGCTCAACAACCAACCAGTCTATTGACTGCAGTCGGTCTCACGACACCAAGCAGCTGTCAGTTGATGCTCTGCTGTGTCTTAAACACAGTTGATCTAAGTCAATGTAATGTAATGAGAGCTTGGCGTTGGCTCGTGGCTGTGACTCCACTCAGAGAAGTGAGTGAGTGCACAAAGCTGACACTGTATACACTGTGGAGCAGTTTAGAGGCGTAAGTGACTAGTAAAGACACCACATGCCACTTTCCACGGGCACAGACTCCGCCGATCCCATCATATTTACAAGACTTAGCCAGAAATCGCTTAATAAGGACATAACACCAGGTACACACTGCTTCCTTAAATAAACTGTGTTCTTGCTCTCAGACACGAAGATGATCTTGACCCTCCGTTCAACCCACAATATATCTACTACAATCACGTGTCTAGCTAGCTAGCTAGCTAAGGAGTCTAAGGCTATAGTGAAGAGCAGCCAGATACTGTACGCACAGGGCTAGGCCTACAAGTCAAAGTTGATGCACAGCCAACTGCCACATGCCTGATTTTTACAAAAATCGTATTTGTCATTTAGCAGACGCCCTTATCCAGAGTGAATTACAGGAGCAATTAGGGTTAAGTGCCTTTCTCAACGGGACATTTACAGATTTTTCACCTAGTTGGCTCGGGGATTCAAACCAGCAACCTTTTGGTTACTGGCCTAACGCCCTTAACGGCTAGGCTCCCTGCTGCTGTTTTGCTCTGTCTCTTGGCAGTTGAGTAATGTCAGAATGATTTGGTAGACATCTACAACACTAATACCCTTACCGATTTCTGTTCAGTTCCATGAAATAAACACAGTAGCCTATTCACTGATTTTACATTCTAAAGGGGTTGTCATCAAGTAGGATATTAAATCTGCTCTGCTTGTGGTCTTTGGTCTCAACAAAGGTCTTCAAAAGAAGGCCTGTTACTAGGGTCCTATTCGGAATCACGGAATCCAGACATTAAAACGGATTTCAACAATATTAAAACATGTATTGAACTTAGTTGGAAATCAACTAAATGTACTGAACTTATTAGAAAATTAATTAATTTGCCCAAGTTAATAATAAGTCATGAACAAAATGAATCAGTGCGTTGTATTTCTCTGCAACTTTCTGAAACGGCACAGTGCTGATGCGGTGCACGCGCATGTCTACACTGTGTAGCCGTTGGCGATGAAGCTAATGATAACAGTCTTCTGGTAGAGATGGAAAGACTTTCCCAAAAACCTTTTCAATTACATGTTAACTAAAAAGTAGCCTATGCCTACCTGGCAGAATGATATCATGATTATTTGCATCAATCCAGTGGCCATTTGTTTAGCAAATTCTGCAATCACGAGGGCTACAGAAACATCACTAACCAAAAATATTCTCTGACTGGTGCTCACTTGCATTACAAGGGTAACTACACCAAATAATATTGAAATTTCTTCAATTCTTCCCAGACCTCAAAAGTAGTCTCTTGTTGTGGTTTAAGCATTGTTGTAGACTTATAACATCCAATTTTGTTATTTTTCAATCAAAATAAATATTTATTTAAGTGTGATTTTTTTGAGCAAAAACTGGGAAAGCAGAAACCTGGATAAAAAAACTGAGAAAAAAAACTGATTTTATAGGGCCCGATGTTACCAGCAAAACATAGTCCCACTTCAACACAATGCCTGCCATAAATACATCCACTGAGCCCCCTGCAGAGAGCCAGCCTAGCAGGGTGATGCTCCATGTGGAGGCCAATGGTGTGTGCTGCCTGCCTGACACCTTTCTATTCTAGAACCTTCAATTATTTGGAATAACAATAGACCTAGGGTACATGAAATATATGTTATTGTTACAGTTGTGAAGTGCAGCAGCAGGGCTCTCAGATGTCATCCCTCCTGCCTAAATACACAACTATGTTTATTTTCTTACAGTGGCAGTGTGGCCTACTGCAAATTAACCTCTGAAACACTATTTTTAGTCCAATGCACGGAAGGTTAAGAAGTTGACCTATTCAGGCTGCATCACGGATTGTAGTGAACCGACGAAATCAACACTTAACAAGCTCATCACTGGCTTCTAATGAGACCAGTAGAGTACCAGTTACACTAGGAAGGGACAATCAATTGTCAAAGCAAGCAAGCAATCTCTCCTGGTCTGAACAACTAATTGTGTGGGCAACCTACTGCTACACTACTCTGCATTGTATTAAAGCTCACATGCAATGTGAATAACAGAGGTGGTTCTATTCCAAACAGTCTGTCTGAGGCTGCCCCAGAGGGTTCCGCTGCACATGCTGGTTCCTGATAACTCCCAAAATGGCCTGCAAAACAGAGAGGCCCGTCTGTGAAAGTCACATGTTACTCCTTATTTTTAGAAATATTCTGTCTCTTCACTGGCTTTTCCAAGTGGAACATTCAATCTCTCTTTGCACCTGGAAAAGGAGAGATGAAAGTACTTCCGTGCTTTTTGGAGTGTAATGAAGAACGCATTGGCATGCCTTGCTAGAAATCCTTCATTTAAGAATGACAAGGAAACCTCAGAGGCTTGCAGTGGGCTAAAAGCAGTACGCTAATACAGCAACACAACAGTTGCATACTAACGAAATATAGTTAATCAGCTAACATCAGTGACTAAATGTTTATGTTTTAATCAGTTTGTCTGGCAGATATCACTGGTGTCTCTTCAGGGCTTTGTTTCAGAAATGAACAGGTAGCTGATTGCCTCGATTAACCTGTACCGCCCCCCACCTTGACTCGGTACCGGTACGCCTGTATATAGCCTCGTTATTGTTATTTTATGGTGTTACTTTTTACTTTAGTTTATTTAGTAAATATTTTCTTAACTCCATTTCTTGAACTGCGTTGTTGGTTAAGGGCTTGTAAGTAAGCATTTCACGGTAAGGTCTACACCTGTTGTATTCAGCGCATGTGACAAATACAATTAGATTTGACAATACCGGAGTTTACAAGTCACCAGACCAATCTGACAGACCCAACCCACTGGGCTAGAATGCATGGATATTATTATATTTACCCAGGTGAAGGTGTGTACACAAATCACATGATGACTGTGACTAATGTTTCAACCTTGTCACAAACCCATAAGTAATTTGGATAGGCTATTGCCTCTAAATTATTTATTCAAGGAAAATACTTTTCATTTTTTCAAAGGACTCCACATGAATCGTGTTTTGGCCTCTAGACAATGCGTGAACGTTAACATCTGGGGATTTTGCAAGTTCATGCACACCAATTGGGCTGACAACAGACCTCACCTGTCAGCAATGCGTTACAGTTTATTGAATAATGAAGGCATTGTTTCCAGAACTGACTACTGGTCCATGTACAAAATGTTGAACACAGCTGTTTAGGGAAACAAACTTTTGGTAGCTATAAACAAAGTTTAGGGCGATGGATACAGCTGGTTGCAAGCAAAGAGTGAGCCATAACGTTATAACCTTAACCATATAGCTTGCACAGTCCTAGAGGCAAACTTGGAACTGCTTAGGGAGGGACCTGTCAACTAGCTAGTTAGCCAGCAACTCAATATCACCATCCCAGGGCAATAAACTCAACTTCATAAAAACTTACGTTTTGTGGCATTGATGAGATTCTTTCCATCCTTGTAGAGTTCCTTGATAAATCTGTTGGTTTTATCCAACTCGGCCTCGTGCGCCTTTATTTTCTCCCTGAAACCGGGACTGTCCAGGTAGCATTCGCTAAACTCCAACGGGTGTAATCCCATGTCTGTAACGTTAGCTAGTTGTCTAGGTCAGCTAACTAGCATAAGAAACTGTAAAGCTGCTTTATAAAAACCACGCAATAAATAATTAGCCACCACCAACAAGTTGCCTGGTGTCAAGCGAAACTGAGAAAAGTAACGTTAACCAACTAAAAACTGATTTTTAGGGTGGGCAACTGGCTTGTGCTGTCCTCTAACTTGCTAGCTAGCAAACGTTAGCTACGTTTTGCTAGCTAGTGTTCCCAAATCATAACGTGTTGGCTGACTTGCTAACTACTAGTAGCTAACTACAGCTTATTCACGAAGAAAATTGGCTAGCATGGTACTAGTAGTTGAAAAGGCGTGTGGCATTCCTAAATTAGCAATTATTTTGTTAGAGCTTGTTTAAGAGTAACAGCAAAGCATTATTTAGGTCGGAAAAACGTATTGTGTCAATCCAAGTTGTAGTCCACGTCGTCCAGTGCAGACATTCAATTGACAGTCGAAATAAAACAATTCTCTTTGACAGTAGTAGGCGTGTAGCGCCTCAAGTCCTCCTCCGCGGACGCGGGATAGGGCGTTTATCCCATTGGCTTCCACCCACCTTCTGATTAATTCATACATTGCCCACAATGTAAAATATTTACATTTTCTACAAAATACATACTTATAATACATCTAGCTGGTGTCCGTTTTTTATTATAATATTTCAGACGCTCTAAATTGATTTTCTTAACTCAGAATAGCCACAATTTTTACACGTGGAATCATGGAAGACATCTTTGTTCCTACTCGTACTTATTTACTCAACGGACATGTGCTGCATTTGTTATTATTCCAAAGACAGTACAGTATAAAGACAGACAGAAACTGCTACTCCAATAGAAATCCCGCTTGTAGGATAGCGACGTTGGCTAGCTAAACCCATGAGTAAAACACGTCATCGGGTCGAACGGTCGTTTCGCGCCGAACTGCGCATGTGCACGCCGTCAAATCAAAGGCACTCCTTCGATATAAAGTTTTTTTGACGAAAATGAAGACGTGTCAGTTTTTCACGTTCACGAGGTCGTTGGAGTAAACATGTTCAACTACTTGAGACGTCTTGAATCTAGGTTGTGCCTTTAGATGTCGAGAAATTTAACAGCTAAGGAATAATTTTTCACTTCTCTTACTGATTTCTCAAACCCCAAACCCCGACCTCGGGGAGGGGAGGACGGCAGGAAGGGACAGAAGAGAGGAGGCTATATTTGCAAGATTAAGGGTGGGACACAGCCAGTTGAATAAGACATTAAGCATGATAGGAAAGCATCCATCAGGAAAGTGTGATTATTGTCAGGAAATAGAGACTGTGGAGCATGTATTGCTACTGTGTGGGCAGTATCAGAGGGAAATAGAGAGGATGAGATTAAGTATGTGGGAGAAGGGGATACAGGAAATTAGTTTAAAGAGTATATTGAGTAGAACGTCATTAGATATAGTATCACATATTTTTTTGTATTTTTTAAGAGAAACTGGGTTGGCAGATAGGATTTAGTTTATCCCCGTCTCTGGCCCACACTCCAGTACAGTAGGTGGCGGTAATGCACCATAACGTTGGATGCCAACCGCCGATAAACCCCACTGAAGAAGAAGAAGAAGACCTGGTCTGTTGGTCTGCTTCGTAAGCGTTCCCGGAAGTCTGGCAATGTTGCGCCTCTGGGTTTAGAAACTCTTATTATACCTCACTGTCAGTGGTCTTCAGCCAGCGGCGCTATCAGATGTTGCTAGCTCTACATTTGATACTGTTATTGCCATCATCGTTTATAACGTTACTGTTGTATTTAAATGTATGATTTTGTGATGCATATATAGTAAGTCATCAACATCACTGAAAATGAAGTTTTACGCCTATCGTCCGCTGGCCATATTTAGCTAGCTAGTTACCAACATACAGTAGTAGCTAATTAAGTTAGCTAGCTAACGTTAGCGACTCGTTTTGAAAATAATACCTAGTAACGTTAGTTAGCGATATTGCATGATGAACACAACACTGCTAGTTAGCTACTTGTGTTATTTGATGTAGCTAGTATGTGTGGCATTTTGAACCAATAGGCTAGACTTGTGTAACGTTAGCTTGCTAGCTCATGTATTGTGGTTACAACCAAAATATCTGCTGCACACTTTTACAACCACAGCAACACATTGATAATGACATTGTAGCTAGTTATGTAATTATCAAACTAAACCGCTCATCAGTGTGATGAATGTTGTGTGGCTATGTCTTTGTTTGTGTTTGCTGTGTGTTCCTAACATATGTGGTCTCCTATCTCCCTGTGTGATAGGAATGCCCAACGCCAGCACCAGGCCTAAGCGGGGCAGACGGAACCGTCGGGCGCCCAGGGAGGACCCTGCCAGGAATGAGCTGGTGTCTAGGTCACTGGAGAGTGCCCAGCAGTGTCTATTCAACCAAGACTATGGGACCGCCTTCGTCCACTACCTTCTCGTCCTCAACCTGGCTCCTGTGCTGAAGGACTTTGCCAGTGTGGGTAGCAAAGGAAAGCCTGTAGGCCAGGGCTCTCCGACCCGGTTCCTGGAGTGCTACCCTCCTGTAGGTTTCACGCCAACTCCAGTTGTAACTAACCTGATTCGATTTATCAACCAGCTAATTATTAGAATCAGGTGCGCTAGATTAGGGTTGGAGTGAACCTACAGGACGGTAGCTCTCCAGGAACAGGGTTGGAGAGCCCTGCTGTAGGCTATACACCATTCAGCCTGTCTGACAATTGACATTCCCTTTGAACTTTCAGATTTGTTTTATTCAATATTTTTTTGTCACATACACCAGATGAGTGCAGTGAAATTTGTTATTTTAGAGGGTCAGCCATAGTAGTATGGTGCCCCTGGAGCAAATTAGGGTTAAGTGCCTTGCTCAAGGGCACATCAACAGATTTTCTAACCTTGTTGGCTCGGGTATTCAAACCAACGACTTTTCGGTTACTGGCCCAACGCTCTAACCGCTAGGCAACCTTTCATTTTGAAGTTGACGTGTGTATTCTCTTTACACATTACAATATAAATGTTTACCACTGAAGGAAAAAGACAAGTGATGTCATTCTTAGATGAAAGCTAGTCTACAACAAAGTTTTTACAATGTGTGTGTTTTTTGTGTGTGTGTTTTCAGGAGTCATTTAGGTTCACTCTGTTCAAATGGGCAGATGAGCTCGACTCTCTGGGGCGCATCCAGGACCTGTTTGACTGCTATGAACAGGCTCTGGAGCTCTTCCCTACTGATGAGGTCATCATCAACAGCATGGGTGAACACCTGTTCAGGTAGCCCTCACTCAAGTCTGACCGGTGTCTTGCATGTATTGTCTGTAGGCTTGGGAAACGGGAAGACTTTACTAGTCAGAGTTATTGTGGGGTAACATTGTACCTTAGAATATGCTTGACACAGGATCAAGAATAGAGTTATCTTTTTCATGTCTGCCAATACATTTTGTTTGCATGCAGTGGTGTAAAGTGATTAAACTAGCCAGATAGCGCTGTGTCCTAGTAAATGTGTCACAATATTATTAGATTGCTCACAATTGTTCCATTCCGATCTTCCATGCACGCTCCAGAATGGGATTCCGTGACGAGGCCGCTGGTCATTTCCACAAGGCCCTGAAGCTAAAGCCGGACTACCCTGAGGCCAAGGAGAACTTCTACCGCGTCGCCAACTGGCTGGTGGAGCGCTGGCACTTCCTGATGCTCAACGACCGCAAGAGGAACCACAAGTACCAGCAGGCCATCCAGAAGGCTGTTGAGGGAGGCTGCAACACTGTGTTAGATATAGGCACAGGGACCGGTATCCTCGGGTGAGATTTCTTTCTGCCTATTACAGTGAAAGGGATAGTTCATCCAAATGCCAAAATTACATGTTGCTTTCCTTACCCTGCAAGCGGTCTTTGGACATTTGTGCCGCAAATGCTAAAACGGTAGCATTTGGAAACAGTGCCAGCCACAGGCAGGAAAACTAAACCAAAGCATGGATTGCTGTCATACCTTGTACATTCCTTACAGGGTAAGGAAACCGATGTCATTTTGTAATTTAGGTGAACTATCCTTTTAAGTGCATCTTTTATTTTATTACAGAATGAAGAATTAGGTTAAAGTTATACAATCTTAATGGTTAGTATCTAGCCAAGAGAAATCTACACAGCTCTGGGATTGACTACGTTTGTGTTAAAACACTGTCATGGCTGTGGTCTGTCCATTTCTATTAATTTGTTACTGCTTGTAATCCTTGTTCCTCTCTGGTCTCTCTATGGACAGAATGTGTGCTAAGAAGACCGGGGCGGCTGAGGTGTACGCCTGTGAGCTGTCCAAGACCATGTACGAGCTGGCCTGTGAGGTGGTCACCGCTAACGGAATGAACGGACGCATCAAGATCCTCCATATGAAGTCGCTGGAGATGGAAGTGCCTAAAGACATCCCTAAGAGGTGACCAGGACACCCAAGTCATGCCCATTTTCCGAAAACGTCTGAAACCCTACTTCTATAAAGAGTATCATAAATACCCCCCCCCCAAAAAAAATAAATAATAATAATGCACTAGTCTTTTTCTACTAGCACTGACTATGCTGATAACTACTTTGTTGAGGGAAAATATACTTGCTAAGACTGATGTGTTGTCTCACCTACCTTACTTTAAGATGAATGCACTAATGTAAGTGGCTCTGGATAAGAGCGTCTTCTAAATGACTAAAAAGTAAGCTGTGTCCCGGAAACCGTCCCTATTTGTCCTCTGTTTGTGTGATGTTTTTTTTCCTGTGGTAGGGTATCGCTGGTTGTCACGGAGACTGTGGATGCTGGCCTATTTGGTGAGGGCATTATAGAGAGCCTTATACACGCCTGGAATCATCTGCTTTTGCCTCCACAGGTAATTAACTAGCATAGGCAGCCATGTTCAGGATTTACTTTATGTTCATATAGAGTTTCTCACTGTAATGAATACAAGCCACCCTTTAGTGCAAGTCTGAAACCGTTACCATGATTAGGAAGTAACATGTATTGATTATTTATTTCCCAACACTTTCGCATAACATTTTCAGTTTCATCACAACAGTGGATTTAGATTCCAGTTATGTTCATGTTTTTCATTCATTTAACAGGATTGGCTGTCTCAATTCAACACAAGTGATCGCAAAGGAATCTTCAAAAGAGGCTTTACCTATATTTTTGTATCACAATGATAAAACATGATTATGAAGCATCAATCCTTTTATGTTAAATGTCCTTTATCCAGCCAAATCTAATGTTTTCCTGTTTATTGGCAAAGAGATTCATCCAAAATAATTTAAGGTTACAGTAGGAGACTACAGTACCAACCAACCACCTTCCTCAATATTATAATGCAGCCAATATAAGTCAACAGTGCCATCTATGGTCTCAATGCGATACTACATTTGAGATAAAAAATAATAATTAAAGGATAGATGAAAATCCTTTATATAAAGATTCCCTACAGACAAGTGCATTTAGCAAACATATACTATAAATTGCAACAACAAATAAAATCCTATTATAGCTAAGTTAATGGCATGAGGCCTGATCTATGAACACGTGAAGGCTCACTTTCTAGTCCTTCCACTGCAGAGTACCCAGGACCCATCCACGCCTCCATCCCAAACAGGCCGGGTCATCCCTGCCGGAGCCACTGTGTTTGGGATGGCTGTCCAGTGCCTGGAGATCCGCCGCCATCACAGGTGACCTGTCCCTCTGTTGTTAATCAAGGCTTACTTAAGTCAGTCAGACATTGTTCTTCAATGACGGATTTAGTTGTATAATTTATTTTGCGCGTTTCACACTCAATGCCTCAGCATGTAGAACAGTATCCCAAATATCAACAAGTTCAGCTTTCGTGTCCTTATCTGTCGGAATATTTCATTGTCGACATGGAACAACAGCTGAAGGCCATATGTCCCTGGAGGTAGTATGTGTTTGTGTATGTGGGTAAACAGACACCGGTGTTAATATTCATGTCATACCATCTATTTATAACTATGTGCCTGCAGGCTGTGTGTGTCTGAGGTGGGGGGCCTGGCCATGGCTGCAGCCGGAGAGCTCCACAGCCCAGTAAGCTGCAGCTCAGAGGATGACTCCACGGAGCCCTACACCACAGAGAGACTGAGCAGGCTGCCTGGAGGCTACACCCCCCTCACTGAACCCTTCAATGCCCTGGACATAGACTTCAACAACGTACAGGTCAGCGGCAGTATAGCTTCTTCATATATACATAGATAACATTTAAACCAGAAATCTATATGGGGAATCTACTGAACTGTTAGTTATCATCAACAGCTACGATTTACAGCCTCAGTGACATTGCTGTGTGTAGATTCTGTATAATGATAACAAAACAATATCTTGTATGTCAAGAGCCTAGCTAGCGTGAGATTTGGCTATGGGTTCCAAGTATACAAGAGCAGTGATTCTAATTATGCTATGCTAACTGTGCCCCAGGAGCTGGAGGGTCTGTGCTCCAGGGAGGTGAGCCGGGTGCGTCTACCCGTAACTGGGGAGGGTCTGCTAGACGCTCTGGCTGTGTGGTTCCAGCTCCACCTGGATCAGGAGAGCAGCCTGTCCACCGGACCTATGGAGGACACTTGCTGGGAGCAGGCCATCTACCCTGTTCAAACACCACACAGTAAGGTCATTTATATCAGACATGTATGTACACTGCGTGTACAAAACATTAGCAACACCTTCCTAATATTGAGTTGCGCCCCCTTTTGCCCTCAGAACAGCCTCAGTTCGTCGGGGCATGGACTCTACAAGGTGTCGAAAGCGTTCCACAGGGATGCTGGCCCATGTTGACTCCAATTTTTCCCAAAGTTGTGTCAAGTTGGCTGGATGTCCTTTGGGTGGTGGACCATTCTTGAAACTGTTGAGTGTGAAAAACCCAGCAGCGTTGCAGTTCTTGACACACTCAAACCGGTGTGCCTGGCACCTACTGCCATACCCCATTCAAAGGCACTTGAATCTTTTGTCTTGCCCATTCACCCTCTGAATGGCACACATACACAATGCCTGTCTCAAGGCTTTAAAAAAAATCCTTCTTTAACCTGTCTCCACCCAGTCATCTACACTGATTGAGGTGGATTTAACAAGTGACATCAATAAGGGATCATAGCTTTCACCTGGATTCACCTGGTCAATCTGTCATGGAAAGAGCAGGTGTTTGTAATGTTTTGTTCACTCAGTGTATATACACATGCAGTGAGGTAGTATATTTAGACAACTGCACACTACTCCTCTGTAGGAGTCAGATCTAGTGTTGCTCTATCTATAGAGCAGTATGTTTAAACATCTCTACGTAGAGCCCTTTAATCATACAGTAGAGATGCACATAATGCACTGCCTAAACACAGATTCTCCTGAGATCCACTCAGCACAGCTATACAGTAATACTTACATATTTGTTACCATATAAATTACACATATTACATACTGTACATAATATATAAAAATGGTGTTCTTGCATATTCCACTGTAATATTTGTCCCCTTCCGATGTTTGCAATGCAATTCCACATTCTGTCAAACGGGGGCAGTAGGCTACATATTGAAGAAACCCATTCCTTTGAAGACATTAGGCAATGACTGAAGTCAACTTACAGTCTACACATCTAACCTCAAGGCTGTTATTAGTTGGCTTTGGTTTGCCTAGCTTGATTCCATGACCATTCAAATTGAATGAATTATACGCAAATAGGCTTGACCGTTGTCAACAAACAATTCTGTACTCCTTTACCCTGTCAGGCTGTTGTGCTCCTTCCAGACGTAGAACAACTAAGTGAAGTTGTAGTGTTGACATGGAGATGTATCATCATTCAGCTACAGAGCTCAGTGTCTCTGTTCAGCAGTGTTGCTAATTGACAGGGGCAGCGTCTAGGGACCAGCCAGACGCCATCCCCACCACCTTTTCCCGGTGATCATCGACATCCATTTCCCGGCCGCCGTGGCGAGACAGACGGGTGCACCGGGGATCGCCTGTGACACTCTTTAGTGTTCATGAATCTCTTATAGGATATAAATATGTATTTTCCCCAAACGCCCCCTGACAACAACAAACCACATGCTGACGTGATGACACAAACAGATGTTATTCCTACAGCGCTCTCTCTCTCTCTGTGCCTCCCTCCCTCCTGAATCTCATTTCCCTCGTTCCCCTGCTCCTACCCCTCTCTTCCTCTCTCTCCCTCTTTCTTTTTGTGCAGTGGCAAAGCGTCTTGTTCCATGCCAGTTCTGTTTACTTGTTGTTGTGGTTCATGAATGAACAGTTATGTGCGCAACAAGGTCTTATAAAAAGAAAGAAATCAACTTGTTAAGATATGCCAAGAATTTGTACGTAATTTACGTTTTCTTTTGCAATTCTACATGCTTTATTTGTTAGACTAAAAGAGGGTCACACCCATCAAAACAAATGTACATACACTGAGTGTACAAAACATTAGAAATACCTGCTCTTTCCATGACGTAGACTGACCAGGTGAATCCAGGTGAAAGCTATGATCCCTTATTGATGTCACTTGTTAAATCCACTTCAATCAGTGTAGATGAAGGGGAGGAGATAGGTTAAAGAATACTTTTTAAAGCCTTGAGACAATTGTGTATGTGTGCCGTTCAGAGAGTGAATGGGCAAGACAAAATATTCAAGTGCTATTCTAGACTGTTAATGTATACAATTTGAGGTATATACACGATGGTGCAACTCATTGGATGGTTGTTAATTCAATGTCAATGGGTTTGTATCTGTCCTTATTCAAATGAACCATAAAATGAAATGTCTGGTCAGATTTCCCCCTGAGGCCTGGTGACGAGCTCATCGTGGAGATCTCCTGCCGGGACGCCTACCTGAGACTCTGCAGCGTTGCCGTAGCGCGAGACGGACGAGAGTTCCGTCTAGACGACTGTCTGGATCCAGACCAACCTAGAAACAACCCAGGCCAAAGTGGCAATCCCAAGCCAAGCCTGAACGCCGAGGCAGAACTGTGCAGCGCCCTAGCCTGCCTCGGGACAGAGCAGAGCAGTGGACCTCGAGACTACACCATGCTGGAGTGTGCTGAAATGGCCCTCCTCAACAACCAGCCCTACCACGATAGTTTCCGCAGGGCACTGGCTAAACTCATCACCAACCTGAAGGACGCTCGTTCGGTCCAGGGTCCCAGCCAGGGTGAAGGGTTAGAGGTCATGCCTCTCACTGACCCTCCCAGTGGCCCTATGGACCCTGGTCCCGACCCCTTCTACGTGCTGGACGTGTCTGAGGGCTTCTCTGTCCTCTCCCTCATGGCAGCCAGTCAGGGCCAGGTGAAGGCATATAGTTCGGTAGAGAAGACCCAGCACCAGGCGGTGCTCAGGAGGCTGGCCAAGGCCAACGGTGTCCCAGAGGAGGCTCTCGAGTTCTGGCTGAACCAGGTGGAGGATGAGCAGGCGGTGCTCCAGAGACCCTCCAGGGAGAAGCTGTGGAGCGCCATCATATTAGACTGTGTGGAGACCTGTGGCTTAGTCAGGCAGAAGCTGATGGAGAAAGCCACCCTGGCCAGGTAGGACGATGTAGCAAGCGCTGCTGGGAAAGGTAGTTTTGGTAGTAACAGGGTAGTATGTATGACGTGCTGGGGGAATTTGATAGTGTTTTTGGAATGAGGTGAGATTGTTGATATTAATCTTCAGTGTTATCATATTGGGGAAAAATAGACATTGGGTTTTGAAGAATATGTCCCTTTTTGTATGTTTTTATTGTCAGCAATTGTTTGATTGTTTGTTTGGTTGGGATCCATCCATGGCAGGTGCCTGTTGGAGGACGGCGGTCAGATCTTCCCAGAGAGGATTGTGTTGTACGGGATGCTGGTGGAGTCTGACAGCCTGCTGCTGGAGAGTGCTGTCCAGGGCCAGGAGCCTACACTGGGCTTCAACATCGCCCCGTTCATCAACCAGTTCACTGTGAGTTATTGACAACTGCCCAGATTCACTGCATGCGTACTGTATCTCCCCACCTGTCTTGAATATGTCGTCACTAGGGCCTGAGGTTTTAATGATATAGTTAAGCAATAAGGCCCAAGGGGGTGTGGTATATGGCCAAGGGGTCTTACGCACGACGCAACGCAGAGTGCCTGGATACAGCCCTTAGCTGTGGTATATTGGTCATATACCACAAACACCTGAGGTGCCAAATTGCAGTAAAAATAAATGTTTTGTCATACCCGTGGTATACGGTCTGATATACCATGGCTGTCAGCCAATCAGCATTCAGAGCTCGAACCACCCAGTTTATAGTTATATGCTCTTTCCATGACATAGGTGAACAGGTGAATCCAGGTGAAAGCTATGATCCCGTATTGATGTCACTTGTTAAATCCTCTTAAATCAGTGTAGATGAAGTGGAGGAGACCGGTTCAAGAATGATTTTTTTAAAGCCTTGAGACAATTGAGACGTGGATTGTGTATGTGTGCCATTCAGAGGGTGAATGGGCAAGACAAAAGATCCCTGAACGCTTTCGACACCTTGTAGAGTCCATGCCCGACGAATTTAGTCTGTTCTGAGGGCAAAAGTGGTGCAACTCAATATTAGGAAGGTTGTTTCACACCCGTTGTATCCTGTGCATGTGGCGGATAAACGTTGAAACATGAAGATAAAGGAAACGCGTGAGTAAGCCAGGGATACAAAGTATATTGGAAGCAGGTGCTTCCGCACAGATGTGGTTCCTGAGTTAATTAAGCAATTAACCTCCCATTATGCTTAGGGTCATGTATAAAAATGCCCGGTTGCCCATTATTTTGTCTACCATGGTTAGAAGAAATCTCAGTGACTTTGAAAGAGGGGTCTCAAAGGGTACGTTTACACAGGCAGCCCAATTTTGATATTTTTTTCACTGTGGTCTTTTGACCAATCACATCAGATCTTTTACAGAACTGATCTGATTGTCAAAAGACCAATTAGTGAAAGAAAATATCAGAATTGGGCTGCCTGTCTAAACACAGCCAAAGGAGCATAGGGGGTTTAAAGTGTGTGTGTGTGTGTGTCTCAGTCACCAGATCTCAACCCAATTGAACATTTATGGGAGATTCTGAAGCGGCACCTGAGACAGCGTTTCAACAAAACACCAAATTATGGAATTTCTCCATACACTTGTAGAACCCTATGCCAAGGCGCATTGAAGCTGTTCTGGGGGCTCGTGGTGTCCCAATGGCCTATTAAGATTGACTGATAACTCAAACTGTTCTTCCACTGCTCTGTCGTTCGCTACATACTTTAGTCTGAGACTGCCATCATTGAAGTTGTTTGTGATTATGAGGGGCGTTGTACAAAACAAAGTCATTAGCGATTCGTCATCTCTAACCAATCAGAGTATCAAAGCCAATGACGAATTTTCTAACTGCCGCTTTACCCACGTGTGTTCTGGCTCTTGCCCAACCCATCAGTTTCTGGACCAATCAGAACGGTTAGAATGTGTTTGCGTTCTAGAAATCGTCGGGGTAAATCCAGACTCATTGCGGAGAAGAAACTAGCGTCCGCAGGCGTGGCGTAACGTTTGGCCGGCGCAAGGAGTTTGGGTAGCTAGGCAACTATTAAGACACTTTATGTTGTTGTTTTATCCAAAGCGATTTAGTCATGCGTGCATTTTTTTAAATGTATGGGTGGTCCTGGGAATCGTAATCACTATCCTGCCGTTGCAAGCGCCATGCTCTACCAACTGAGCTACAGAGGACCGAGTCAGCTCACATTGTCAGGAAAACCTCCTGGCTTTAGCCACACTTCCCAGCTCTATATGGACATGCACTATACTCTGATAACTAAGTCGTATAGTACATTTACTTTATGGTTAGGGGAAAAAGTATGGTCAACTCAAAGTTCATTCTACGTGACACAACTCCCAAACCTTTCTCACTCAACATGTCTCCTCTCTAGCCCCTCATATCTGGTATTCCCTCTCATGTCACTGATGCAATAGTCATAGTATTGACAGCTGGCTCAATGTTGTTTGTGTCTTGCGTCATTCTTCTGATTCAAAGGACAGGCTCCTGAGACACACCAACATGTTGCCTGAGGGTTGTAACATCTTGACTCAAGATGGCTGCTGACATATAATGCCAAACCCCCCCCCCAAAAAAATATTCTAGCGAAAGCTAAAGTTTTTTTTTCTTATAGTTTATTTTGCAGTACTGTTAGTGGCTCTTGGTCTGCCGTATTGCAGTTGAGCTCAAGTGAACCAATTTGAAAGGGCACAATACATTTAAACGGACCTTTTACTATGCCTTTCTTTATCATTATGTAAGGGATTATTGTTGGTTTTAAAAACCCATTTTGCTTGCAATGCAACCTCCTACGTTGAGACGTCTCATGTTTTCTTTAATATAGCTTTCCATCCGTATTACGGGGAGCTGAGAAATCCTTTTAAGTTGTCCTTCTTTTCCAGTGTCTTGTTGGCGCTCTAATTTTCGGTGTTGGCTCCCACGGGACGGCAGTTTGTTTAAACAGATGTTGTCTTTGAAGAGCTCAGACAAGGGCACGCCATTTTCTAGCACGACTGTCACACGGGGAAAAGCATTCACACGGCTTCACGTAAGGACATTCCTACCTGGACCCATCAGTAAGCATGACATCAAACGGAGAGCTGTGGTGACACTGGGAGCTGTGACAGGGAGGAGGATGCATTATTTTGTTCTCTGTGACAGTGACACTCCCGCTCTGTCGCTGGATGAGAACACTCCTCCTGCTTTCTAGAGTATTTCTAAGAGTTGGAGATTGTGGTAAAGACACCTGACAACTAATGAAGACAACTAATGGAGATTAGTTGACCAGCTGAATCAGGTGTGCTAGTTCTTGAATAGATCAAATAAGTTAAACTAGCTGGAGAGGTTTGGGAAACACTGAAATAGACTATATGGACCGTCTTGTCATTCTGTTAAAGGGGTTAAATGTGTCTCAGATGTAGGGTTGTATAGATGTCCGCCGAATTGACATCTATACTAATATGTTACAACGATATGATCTCTCTCCTTCCTAGGTTCCAGTACATGTGTTTCTGGACTTGTCCACTCTGCAGTGTAGACATCTCAGTGGCTCTGTAGAACTCTTTATCCTGGACCTCATGAATACCAACGCCAACTATACCAACAGAGACGTCAAGGTAAAGACACAACCCTCCAGCTTCATTTAGTTATAGATACATTATCAGATATTGTCTGCAACATTCATATTAAAAAAACATTGTAAATGGCACCATTGACTGATAACACTGAGTTGCCAGATCCCTTGGTAGTATCTGTACTTCCACTGATTTGTGGCCCTGACCATAGAAATACAATGACTATTTTATTGATTACAATAGAGTCCATTTCTATGGCCCTGACTCTCTCTCTGTGTTTCTCCCAGGTCCAGGCCAGTGCCTCAGGCAGGGTGACTGCTGTCCCCTTCTGGTACCAGATCCACCTGAACGAGGAGATCAGCGTGAGCACCTTCAACCAGGACTCCCACTGGAAGCAGGCTGCCGTGGTGCTGCACCAGCCCCTGGAGGTGAGGGAGGGAGACTGGGTACGACTGGCCGTCACCCTGCAGAAGAGCTCCATCTCCATATCAGCCTGTATAGAGGATGAGGCTGGGGAGACTGGGACTGTGGATTCTGTTAGAGAGTCCGATCAGTGACTGTGAGAAGTAGATGTCTGGTGGTATGGACAGTACAAGTCATCTTCATAAGTGTTTTAAAGAAGGGAGTTGGGATGCTTTTGATTCTACAAGAGCATCAATTCCACTCAGTCTTACTGGGAGGATGTGAATGTATCACTATGGATTCTATACTATGAGTGTGAACTGCATACTTGTCGAGGAGGGGAAGGGATTGGTGGACTACGGATTCTCCGGAAGCGTCAGCTCTAAAACGAACCTACAAGGTCTACAATAGCTACCATCTCAATATACCTCAGGACTTTCACAAATACATTTTGATGTTTATGATATGCTTATCATGAGACGTTTTGGTCTTCAGTGTGTTCATAATCTTGTTTTGGAATGACGTCTCTTGATTATGGTTGCAGTCCTTATAAAAATATATATTCTATCAGCACTTGCATTTATTTCAAAAGAAAAATACTAATTAGCGATCAAAGAAAATCATAATGAACATACAAGGGTCTTGGTGTCATCTCAACAGCATTGTGTCAATTCCTCACTGACGCTAGCAAAAACTGACAGCCACATTGAATTGAATTGAATTGAATTTATTGGAGGGTGAATGTTTGGAACCTTGAGTTGAACTCTCAAAGACAAATGTGCTGACATGTTTGATGTAGTACTTCCCTCTGAAGGTTAATGCTTTGTGACAAACATTGTCAGGTAAGGCAATAGCTGCACACACTTGACACACATTCCTGATAGGAAGAAATGCTACTAATGGATGACAATGAAACAAGTAAAGACTGAAATCAATCCCTTTCTAATCAATCACAACTAATATCCCTGAAATGCTAACATGCCAGTCAAGTTTAAAACAGAAATTAGAATGGGAAGAAATGTCAGATACATTGTTACCACAATGTACAGTGGGGAGAACAAGTATTTGATACACTGCCGATTTTGCAGGTCTTCCTACTTACAAAGCATGTAGAGGTCTGTAATTTTTTATCATAGGTACACTTCAACTGTGAGAGACGGAATCTAAAACAAAAATCCAGAAAATCACATTGTATGATTTTTAAGTAAATAATTTGCATTTTATTGCATGACATAAGTATTTGATCTCCTACCAACCAGTAAGAATTCCGGCTATCACAGACCTGTTAGTTTTTCTTTAAGAAGCCCTCCTGTTCTCCACTCAATACCTGTATTAACTGCACCTGTTTGAACTCGTTACCTGTATAAAATACACCTGTCCACACACTCAATCAAACAGACTCCAACCTCTCCACAATGGCCAAGACCAGAGAGCTGTGTAAGGACATCAGGGATAAAATTGTAGACCTGCACAAGGCTGGGATGGGCTACAGGACAATAGGCAAGCAGCTTGGTGAGTTGGCGCAATTATTAGAAAATGGAAGTAGTTCAAGATGATGGTCAATCACCCTCGGTCTGGGGCTCCATGCAAGATCTCACCTCGTGGGGCATCAATGATCATGAGGAAGGTGAGGGATCAGCCCAGAACTACTTTTCTGCAAAGGGGACAGGACGACTGCACCGTATTGAGGGGAGGATGGATGGGGCCATGTATCACGAGATCTTGGCCAACAACCTCCTTCCCTCAGTAAGAGCATTGAAGATGGGTCGTGGCTGGGTCTTCCAGCATGACAACGACCCGAAACACACAGCCAGGGCAACTAAGGAGTGGCTCCGTAAGAAGCATCTCAAGGTCCTGGAGTGGCCTAGCCAGTCTCCAGACCTGAACCCAATAGAAAATCTTTGGAGGGAGCTGAAAGTCTGTATTGCCCAGCGACAGCCCCGAAACCTGAAGGATCTGGAGAAGGTCTGTATGGAGGAGTGGGCCAAAATCCCTACTGCAGTGTGTGCAAACCTGGTCAAGACCTACAGGAAACGTATGATCTCTGTAATTGCAAACAAAGGTTTCTGTACCAAATATTAAGTTCTGCTTTTCTGATGTATCAAATACTTATGTCATGCAATAAAATGCAAATTAATTACTTAAAAATCATACAATGTGATTTTCTGGATTTTTGTTTTAGATTCCGTCTCTCACAGTTGAAGTGTACCTATGATAAAAATTACAGACCTCTACATGCTTTGTAAGTAGGAAAACCTGCAAAATCGGCAGTGTATCAAATACTTGTTCTCCCCACTGTATATCTATAACCATGACTATGTAAGCATCAGTTTACAAATGTACAAATGAGAGGCAAACGTGAAATGTGTGAATTACTTGATAGTGGATACACTAGGACCACATCACATAGAAGGCATCTGAGAAGACTATAGAGACTACCCAGCTGTTAGCATTAATGCCAAAGTGAGACAGAGCTTCATGCTTAAAAATATGTACCATAGGTTCGAAGACCATATTCAAGCATGTGCAAACCAATTATGTAAATAAACCAATCATTGGCGTAAACCAGTATTTTGTATAAGTTTCAGTTCAAAAGCTACATATACTTTTAACGTTTTCGTAGCAACAACTAAAACCCTTGGGATATATGATTAATGAGTTTGTAGTGATATCACCCAGGCGCTATTATAGAACAAGAATACTGGTAAAATCTCTCACAGGCTTTTTGTCCAGACCCATTACAATGAAGACTGGGTTATCCTAAAATAAGGTATTGAGGTACCGTACTTTACCATTATCACTCAGTAGTACAATACAGAAACATTAAATATCTCGTTTCATGAGACCCTTACGAAAGCTTATGAACATTCTTCGAGCTGTCATTGACAGAGGTCCATCTGCATCAGCCCCGGTGGACGAATGACTCACTACAATATTGCTTGACTAACGTGTGCTTTTTCATCGCTTGCTTTAATTCGGCCGTGCGGATTAGTCAAATATCGTCTGGAGGGAAATGTAGCCAAGGCCATACCTGGTTCCTGCCCAACTGTGTTTGGTATAATGTGCATTCAGAGTCTCCATTGGAGGATTTTAGCGATGACGCTAAGCTAGGTGATAACGACAAGGTCGTCTGTAACCGAGTCTGTTGGCTCGTTGGTGGTGTTTCTGGGCTCTGGGGCTGGTCTACCATCGTCTTCCCTCTCCTCTCCATCCCCCTCTCCAATCCACTGAGCATTGCTGAGCCCGGCGGGGGCCGACAGGGAGTGGGGCGTTTGGGTTTTACCCAGGCCCTGGTACCGACCCTTGGGGGATGCCGGGTTGGACAAGGCCTCCGTGGGACCAATGGTGTCCAGGGATCCTGGAGAAAGCAAGCCTGAGCGCTCGCCGTCGTCCTCCGCCTCACCGAAGTAGGTCTTCCTAGGGCGGCCCATAACCGTTCTCCCTGTTACAGGAAAGAAAGTGTGTTTGAAGAAAATGGCAATACATTTACATAATGAGGAAAACTATCAAAGTCTTTAAGATTTTGAGAGTGGCCCTTTTCTATTCTCTCATGACATTCTATTAACATAAATCGAGTAGCTAGCCAATACATTTGGTTCTGAGATTAAACCTTTTCAAACAAAGTTCTTAACAGCGGATTCTTTGATTCCATCCATGCTTGTCGCTATGCATGACAGCTATTGAATCAAGCTAGATGGGATGAGAACTCACCGACGTTGCGAACTTGCTCAGAGATGTCAGCCCTGACGTCAGAGACGTCCCACATGGCCAGGAAGGAGTCGAAGCAGGATCCCTCCTCAGCCTCCTGGATGTAGGGCTTGTAGGTGAAGCTGAAGTGGTGGGCGATGGCCGCCAGGAACATCTCCACACAGATGATGAAGTCCTGGATAAAGCATAAATGAAAGCTTGACTGTATAGCAAAGCAAGTTTATTCTCACACCGGTTGTATTTAGTATGTAATAAATCCTCATCTATTTAAATGATTTAGAAATGTGTACAGGATAGAAGTCCTTGAGATGAATCATCCCGTTTTCTAGGGGGTTCTGAGACCACAAGTCTCAACAGATATTACCTTATACCAAACAAGTAATTTTACAACTGCATTATTTACTACAGCTTTATGTAGCATTGTAGTAACAGTGTTACTATGGCGTTATACAGTGTTGGTATTGTCTTGCATTACCTGTAGACCTGTAGCTATAGCCTCCACACTGTCCCAGTCCCACGTGTGTCTCTCTGAGATCACTCCCACCTTGACCAGGAGAGCAATGAACGCAGCTTGCCTAAGATAGAGTCCAGACAACAGAGTGGAAATTTTCAATCCTCTACACTGCAGCCAACACAGGGAATGCATTAACCCAATTACTGACTATAAGCCACACAGACTTTCTTAATAAGTCCTACACATGCAATTCTGAAAATAAGTTGTATAAGAAATATAAAATGGGCAGCCAAAACTGTGTTACTTTAATGGATAACAATGCTAGATCCATGAATGGCAGACACAACGACTGGTAAACAAATATGTTATTAATCATGGAGGTCGATAACCTGGTCCCAGATCTGTTTGTGCTATGTCAGGGTTCTTCAATTCCGGTCCTGGAGGGCCGAAACACCTGTTTTTCATCCTCTCCTTCTAATCAGGGGCTAATTCAGACCTGGGACACCAGGTGAGTGCAATTAACTACCAGGTAGAAATAAAAAACAGAAGTGTTTTGGCCCTCCAGGACCGGAATTGAAGAATCCTGTGCTATGTCAATGGCTTGACATTGACCACAGGAGTTTGCAAGACATCACAAACAGATCTGGAACCAGGCTAGGAGGTAGATGCAGGTGATCCAAAATGGCCACCAAAAAAAAAAAGCACTCACCAGAAGGAGACGAACACCACCATTTTGACACACAGGAACTTCCCCACTGGTCTGATGGGGGCCAGTTCCTCTCTTAGGGCCTTGTAGAACAGGACCAAGCAGTACATGGCAAACTGGGAGAGAGAGAGAAAGAGAGAGTGAAATATAGAAAGAATGATAGAGAGAGAAAGAGATCACATACTGAACTGAATGCTAAATATGTAATAATGTTATCTTTGTGGTGGTGGTATGGTGACAGGAAGTTTACAGCAATGTGAAGACAAGTGTGGAAAATACAGAACCTACCAGCTGGGACATATTGTTGAATATCACCAGGTACGTCCATGCATTGGTTGAGCTGAAGTTACCTTCATCATACACACCACAGAGCTGACATATCCTACAGGATAGTGAATGGAGACATATGATATGACAGTAAACGTATATGTGGTGAGTGTTAGGGAATAGGTTAGGTAGTTTAGACCGCACGCTACAGCTCACTACCACTTCCACACTCCGTCCCCCAGGGGGCAGCAGCAACCTTGTCCAAATGCTGAGCCTGCTTGATAAGCACATCGGGTGCTGCCAATTACTGTGGTTATCAGTCAGAGTGGCAGCTTGAAGAGCCGTAAGGCTGCTGGTTGGTTTGGTGGCCATGAGACTTATTTTAAAATCTTTAGCTTGTATTTTTCCTTTTTGTACATATTTATGTTTTGTCACCATCTGAACAAATAATAATCTGCTTGGACTGGCCGACCACGAGGTCAAGAGAGACAGAGCTGGCCCTGGACCAAGGTAATGTTGCTGTCTCCCTGGGCACATGTACATTCAACACTTAGGCATATAACAGGAGTCCATCCTGAATGGAATAGCAGATCCTTTGCAAAACACTTACAAGGCAATAACTGTTGTGACTGGTCTGACAACTGTGTACTGCAACACTCCCAGCTTGCATCTCAATAGCAATACCCTGCAATAGGAAAACATGGTATACATTACTAAGGAAAGATATTCAGACAAAATGTTAGCTTTTTCCCACTATAAAATAGCATTAAAATATTTTCTAATCACCAGCTTTGATTTTCATTAATTTCTTCCATTTCTTAAAATCAATAACATCCTATGAAGAAAGATGTTTCAATACGTGTGGCTAAACTCGCAGATGCACAGCATTTGTTAAAATGCAGAATAAACAAAACAGATAAGCCTAATGCTGTCTGTCTGTCTGTTCTTTAGGTTGGTGCATTTTTCCTAAATGAGAACACGTTGTTCCACTTGTAAACACTTCTGGTTCTGTTCTTAATCAACTACAGGCAGACATGCTACATATTACTATCGTTGCCTGACTGGAGATCGTTTGAAGCTGGCAAGTAGCAAATGGAGACTTGGAGAGACTTCAAGCAGCCAAACATTCTAGAAATAGACTCAAAATAGATGCCACGCAGACTGGAGCCACTAACGCACAACTTCCTGTTTTGATTATGAGCCTGAAATATATAAAAATGAAATATAAATGTATACTTAAAACATATCAATGTGGTATAAAAACATGAATGTTTATTATAGCACATAATCCTAAAATATCCCTTCATAACACGTAAAACAAACAAGTGGTAGTTTATTGCTGCACAAAAACATACACCTTCATCCTAAAATGAAAACTTATAACACATGGTATGGATAATATTGTAGCTCCTTATTAGCCTGGTTGTTTGTGCAATAATGCCAGATTGATAGAGGACTCTAGTGCCCAAAAGCCAGTTTTAGCATGGGCAGCGCCATTGAGGACTTTTTTTAAGTAGTCAACTGGGAGGGACTTCCTATGGTTTAAGGATGGATCACATAATTCCATCCAGGTCATAAGGAGGTATCACCCAATGAATGATAAGTGATCAAACATTTCATAACCACAGATTGCAGTAAATTCGCCAACCTTGGCTTTATCCCTGTTCAAACAACATATTCCAGGTGGCAGTATGACCATTTGAATTTTGTTTACCAACTTATAGAAGTAATAGAAGAAAATGCACTACTTCAAAATGGAGATGGCCTCAATGCACTGCCCATGCTCTCAGACACCATAACGGGCCAGATACAATGTTGCATCCTCTAACTAGCCCTATGGTTGTTCATTATAGCACACATACACTTAAAGAACTACAAAAACTATAAAAGCAACAAACTCACTCTCCCATGGGCCATGGCGGGCAGCAGCAGAGGGGAGGAAGGTGTTTCTGCTGCTCCTGCACCTCCATCATCAGTACCAGGCTGGGGTACTGGTTACCCATGGTTGAGAGCGAAAGAGTGGGAGATAGAGAGGGAGCGAGAAAGAGAAGAGAGGAATTACAGAGTGTGAGGATATTGAAATAAATGTAGGCTACTCAGTCTAGCCTGGGATCCAGACGTGTTTGTGCTAGACTTATGTTTGGCATATGACTTATGAGTGGCCATGATTGGAATGTTAGAACAAACTGGTCTGGGATCATTCTCAGTCAGGTCATGACATAAATGTGTACCTGGTTTCCCAGGTAGTTGAGCAGGAAGATCATGAAGTTGTAGATGACGTAAGCCTCGTAGCACTCCCTGCACGTGTCCACGTAGATGGCAATGCTGGGGTACTTCAGCGCAATCCACTGTGTGAGAGAGAAAGGGAGAGGGTGGGAGAAGATGAGGAGGCGAGGAATGGGATTATAGATGGGTCATTACATTATCTCAATGATATGTTGCATGATAATAGTTTAAACTATTGAAACATTTTACTCTGAAAAGTCAGTCAGGGAGTGAGGCATTTTTTTTTGTTTCTCTGTTTTGTTTTTCTAAAGGAGATCTGTATTCATTCTTTGGGAAGTAGGATAATGGAAATCTTGTGATAGGGGGAACGTTGAGAGTAGCAGTTAGATGCTAATTGCCATTGCGAAACCAATTCAAATTGAAGCGCCACGCTCATGTCAGGCGCTTTTCAGTTTTACTAATGTCAAAGCTACAGTGACTTCTTCTGTTAACTTCTTTTGTCAAACGTGTAATTTAACAATAAACCAATGCTGACTTTTATGAACATCTAGCTACATTACCAAGAATAGAAGGTATTACTTACACTGTCCAAACTGTAAATGGGGACCATCCATAATATTCTGTCATAAAAAGAAGACGAAATCATGCACATTCACAATCAGTTAGGTTATACTGTACATCATTCAGGATAAAGACACAAACCCATGATGGTAATGAAGTAATAATATCCTGTAGCTGTGACAGAGTAGCCTATCACTTACCTGATAATTGGCTTCTGTAGCTCTGGTTGAGTATAGTTCACAAGATGCTGCAGGATCCCCCATAGTGATATGGGTATGGTCATGAACACGAATATCCCAGCTATGAACCATGCTTTGTTATGGGTACCAACCTGAAAGGTATAAATGTATATAATCAACATCCAAACAACAAAGCATGGACTAGGCTATTCAGTGTCAAGTAACGATATATGATTGGGCTGCAAATGAAACTAACTGACCTCTGATTTCTGTAGTTCCCAGATGCACAGGGGTAGTAGGACGACAAGCACAACCAGAAAGTATAGAAGAACGACCAGAGGCCGAATCCATCTCCTCCAGTTCCCACAAGTACAAGGCATATTTGTAACGGTAAGCTAGCTAGCCACAGCAAGTTGGCCAGCGTCCTACACTCACTGGGTCAATGGGTGTGATTGCTGAAAACAAAGCTAATGCTAGCAAGCGAGCTAGCTAGCTAACAACTAGCTATTGCCGCTGCCAGCTATAGCTTGGTAGAAGAGTTCGTTTCAAATGTCCTTTGGGATGCATGAATACTGAACGACAATTTCCAAACACATTGTAACGTTAGTAAGCAATGTAGCTGCTTTGCTAAACCAGAAATTGGTAGCTAGCAAGCTGGCTAGCTAACATTAGTCAGCTGATCTCATGATTCATGATGTAAACAAACGATGAATCCACGCTGCATCCATTCCGAGCAAAAGCTCAAGATACAATTAAATAAAAACAATTACGCTAATAAAATCCAACTGGTCAAAAACAACACAGTTCTTGCATTAATAATGATATATTCATATCTAAAACTTCCTAAACATCAAAAAAAGTTTTACACCGTAACTGGTGGCTACTTCTTGTTGACGTTCTTGATAAAAATGCCGCCCTTGCTTCAATCTGATTGGATATGGAAAATATCTTTATACTTTTCATTGCTCATCTTTTCAATCCATCACCTTGTAAGACTTGGGCATAGATGTAGTTCGGTTGATCTGCAATCTGAGTCCTCATGTATTCCCCACTAGATGGCAATGCAAATCAATAATTCTCAGTTTCACACAAGCGGAAAATGATAATTCATTTAAATGACCAAAAGTTGTTAAGAATAACTCAACTTTATAAAATAATTACAAAGTATAATGTGATATCCACGGAGGAAACACATGTTCATCTTCATCATGCTCCACCTTGAGCTAGCCTAACTTCTAAAAACAATTAATAGAAAATACCACAAATATGCATTTGTTGAATATTATTTGTGTTTCTGTTGACTATATAAATTATATAAAAAATACTGAAGTTGGCTTCTCTCTATCTCTCTCTCTCTTATTTATATATTTCTTTCTCTCTTTCCTTGCTGTAAAACATGTGTGGCCTGTGAATAAATGGTTCTAATTAAGATTCTTACGAAGTGAGAAATGGTGTGGGAGTGTAATAAGTCAAAAAGCACAACTAATTCCTGCAAAAGCTTTCAGAAAGGTGCAAGTCAGGACTAAATATTTAGTCAAGTGAAACCAGTTGTCCAAAGTAAGATAACACAATGGAGATGAATGACAATAGGAATGTATTTGCTTTTTTTTAACTCTCTACTACAAGCTATCACAAGGTCCTCTGTAGCTCAGCTGGTAGAGCACGGCGCTTGTAACGCCAAGGTAGTGGGTTCGATCACCGGGACCACCCATACACAAAAACAAAAAAATGTATGCACGCATGACTGTAAGTCGCTTTGGATAAAAGCGTCTGCTAAATGGCATATTATATTATATTATTATTATTATAAAAACAGAACTACCATCTGTGTATAATCCTAGGATAAGTATTTCAATACAGATCTGTTAATTTCCGAGAAGCATCCGTAGCTCCATTAATAAGAGTGGAGTAAATAGGCCATATTCAATGAGGCTCTCTTTTCTTTGTCGAAATTAATATTTTCAATTGATTTATTCCAGTTGAAACTTGTTTAGCAGAACATTAGGCTCCACATTGAATAAATTGAACCACAACAGAGAATGTGATCTGGATCTAGCGTGGGGCGGGGAAGCAGAGAAAGTCAAGGATGTGGGATTTGAGCTTATGTTTATTATAGTTACTTGTTAACAAATTGTTTAAGGAATGTGCTTGTGTTATTTTTTTATGAATGTATGTGCATTTACAACAGTGAAGACACAAGGACTGCATTTCTTACCGCAGATATCAGGTCAACTTCTAAATTTAAATATATTTATTGGTGACAATCTTCTTATACCTCAAAATGCAGTGGGGTTGAAGTGAAGGTCAGTATACTTATTTCATGACTTGAAGCCAATGCCGGGAACTAGGAACTGTTTTAATGTGTCGGCCTGATCTGCTATGTATCATTGGAGACCTGCTCTTTTAACAAACAACCTCTCTCAGTCACGATAACCAAGAATCTCGGAGAATGTGAAACAGACACGTTTTATAACCCCTCGGCAGTCTGCTTCAATTACTCTCGCAACGGTGACGAGGAGTGAAATAATGTTTTACGCAGAGAAGGTTGTTGTCATGAACTTTTCCATGATGAGGGCAGATGCTGGGTTGAGTTGACTAGGCTTGTAAAACAAAATAGTAACATTCTCCCTCATTGTTCACTCATTGTTTGTTCAGTTCTGGGAATGAATTACAAGATTTCAAGGAGTTTTAGGCCTCTTGTTGCCAGCAATTTTTTTCACTATAGCTGTTCTGACATTTTTCTAAAGGATTTTTATACTCAAACAGCATTGAGTATGAAGAAAGTTATAGAAAGAGCCTAGGGAGGAGAAGTCTGACTATGAATCTCTCTCTCCTCTCTTTCGTTAACAGTGTGTTTCCCTGTTTAATGAGGGGAGGCAGAACTTTCCTTTGTGTTGCACCATCCGTCCCCATCGTTTCACTAGCTACTGCCCCACAGTCACAGAAATCACTGGTTGTTACCAGACAGATTGTTCATGAATTTTGAATTGATCCTTTTGGCTTTTATAAATTAGAAATGGTCTTTGCCACCACAGTCATGCGAGCGAGCTGGCGCCTTGGCGGGTTATAGCTTGGAGGAATTGCTATGCAAAATGGCATTAGGAACACAGCCATGTTAGGGCCGGGTAGGATAAACATGTGCTGTGTTTGATCAAACTGAAAATATATTTGAGCATAGACAATGTGATGTCAATTAGATCCCACTGAAGCATCATTTTACAGTGCAAAACAAGATTTTTGTGATGGCACATAGAACTGAACAGGTCTGGTTACGTAGTTATAAAACATCTCAGAGTAGGAGTGCTGATCTAGGACCAGGTATCCTTTGTCCATCTAATCCTATTCATTGTGATCTGAAAGGCAACACTGATCCCAGATCAGCAGTCCTACTCCAAGACGCTTTATGAATATGGGCCCTGCAAAGTTACTGTATGAAAATCAATGTATGCAGAGGTGGAGCCATACTATCTGATTGTTGACTGGCACCAAGTGATCCAGTATCAGCCAAAGTGCACCACCCTCATCAGGGGAATACACAAGTCTGCAATTATTCAGAGATGATTTGTTTATCTTAATACATCTGCCTAAGGCCTGTGTGTTAGGAAGTGTTGAAATTCACCCTCACTTGAGCTGTGCTGTTTCTGCTCCTAAACAATGACTAACAGATTTGAATAGAATCGTTTTTTAGTCTGACCTACAAAGTGTTCTAGATTAGAATGATATGCATTCAGAACATTGTATACGTATAGTATGTATTGGCCTATATGAAAACAAAACAAAGTTATATCATTATCAGAAACAGACATTCATATTTCCAATCATGAAAATGCGTCATAATTCACCCTGTTTTCTATCAATTTTCTGGATCCGGTCCCTGTAGACTGATATTTCTGGATGCTGTGTGTTTCTGAGATCACTTGCATGAAAGATGAGGTCACCCATACACCTCCTGAAATAGCCCAAAATAGCCTGACAATCTGATTGGCTGAAAGAGTAGGCATAGGCGTGACAATCTGATTGGCTGGAAGAGTAGGCCTCTAACATGATGAACCAATAATATCTCCCAGACCATCTCATTATCCAATTATCACTCCAGTTTGATAAGGTTTACACTGGTTCCAGGTTACTCTGTATGGCAGAACTCCACAGGGTATTAGACATGTGTTATTGATATTATTATTTGATTGAGGGGGGATTCTTGAGTTGAAATGCAGAGCTAAGTCGATGTCTGATCTAACTCTTATGGCATGAGGTAGGGTTGACCCTGAAGTGTGATGTGCTTGTTTGGACTCAACACCATTCCATTACCTCAATACTAAACCTGGGTTCAAATAGTATTTGAAATCTTTCAAATACTTTAGCTGGGCTTGATTGAGCTGGCCTGGCACAACAAAACCAAATGGAATAGTCCCAAAAGTGCCAACCCCTGCCTTCTGGCTTTTTAGACTGACTAAAGCCAACGCTAAAAGTATTTGAAATGATTTCAAATACTATTTGAATCCAGGTATGTCAGTACATCTGTGTAATGCTGAGAGACAAGTAGCAAAGCCTTACAAAGGGCACAGGCTATTGTTAAAGTCTATGGTGGTATGTTTCAGAATAGCTATTCCCTTGTTGCATTTGTCTGTAGCCATTGATGTTTACTTAGAACTCAGTTGGTGATTGAGTTGTTGATGTTGTGAAATCTAGCTAGTATATGTATTTCAACACAATTGTATCATGCTTTACTCTAATTCCTTACTCTACGTACATAGTATGTAGCGAATACAATTGCCTAATTAAGAATGAATGACGTACAACCCATTGTAAACTATTTAATGAAGGTGTATTTTATATAAGATTTATCCTAGTTTCAAAGAGTAGTGCATCTTCCTAAAGCATCTCTTGACAATTTTCTCAGCTCCCTTTCAAAACTCATAGACTGTTTCTCATTATCAACCCATCATAGTTATGTAGTCCATCTAGTCCTCACTGTTATTGTGTTGTAGGCATCTTATGTCTGAGTGGCAGCTGAGAGCATGGGTTTGAACTCTTTCTTCAGCAGAGAACAGCCTGCACTGTACAATAACCCTCTGATGCCTCTCCTTGCACAGACACACACACACACTTAACCCTCCAATGCCTTGTCATTCGTGAACAGTGATTGGCCTTCAACATTGGGACTTGGCGCTGTGCACTATGTTCTATATAGAGAGCCTTTTTGACCCTTTGACGTCCTCTGTTTTCTGCTGGCAACAACCACGTTTCCCACCAAATTCCGTGGACCTAAAACCATCCTCTCTCTCTTGCTCTCTCCCTTTCTTTCTTGTTTTCTCTCTCTCTCTCTCTCTCTCTCTCTCTCTCTCTCTCTCTCCTCCCTCCCTCCCTCCCTCTTTCCTTCCTGCCTCCCTCCCTCCCAAAAGGCAGGACTGTGTCTCATGTTATTTTTTGGTCATCCATTTCATAAAAGCCAGACATTTTTGTATTCTTCAACCACAGTTGTGAGAGGAATTCTGTGTTTTCAAGCTTACTGGAAAGGGGCAAAAATATGACATGTTGTTTAACAATGAATATGGAACGCTTTCGTAAGGATTATGACTTAGTTACCTGTTATCACCAACACACTGAAACAAATAACAAATTAGCTCTCAACACATCCATGAAACTCCCATTACTATTGGTTTTGGGGCTGAAATTATTTTGTCTCAACTTATTTTGGTCTGAAATCAAGAATATAAATATTAAAAATACTTTGTTTCCTTTTCTGTCTCCCTCTCCTCCAACCCTAGCCACTCAGCCCCTACCCAGATGCTCATGCGACGTCACAATCTTTGCTCCCTCGCTCTCCCACTACTTTTTCTATTAATTTTTGTTTACAAATCGCATGCACCCAGCCGCCACAAGGAGTCACTAGAGCACGATGGGACAAGGACATCC